TTCTTATACCATAACTTTTATGCATCAGGTTTTCTCATGACCCTTTGGGAAGAAGGGGCAGTTGAGGTTGGTTAATATTTTTACTGGTCTTTTGTATTTATAATTTAACTTTATTTTATGTGCATTGGTGTGAAGGTGTCAGATTCCCAGGAACTGGAATTACAGACACTTGTGAGCTGCCATGTGGGTACTGGGAATTGAACTCTGGACCTCTGGAAGAGCAGCCAGTGCTCTTAACCTCTGAGCCCTCTCTCCAGCCACCTTTACTGGTCTTTCTATAGTACTGGAGATTGAATTGAGGCTCTTGCCTATGATGCGGTAGTGCTTCTACTGATCTGCACCTCCACCTAAAGAAAATGTTTATTGTGTGCATTATATGTATGTCTAGGGGTGCCTGTGCCATGGTGCATTTGTGGGGGTCAGAGGACAACCTTGTGGAGTTGGTATTCTCCATCCATCTTTGTGTGGGTTCCAGGATGGAAACCAGGTTATCAGGCTTAAACAATGAGCTCCTTTATCCTCTGAGACAATCTGATGGCCCTCCACCCATCCTTCATCTTTAAATTTTTGTTCAATCCATGTTTTACTAAATTTCCCAGGTTATTCTTAAACTCATTCTGAAATCAAGGTGGACTTTGGACATACCTCATGCCTCAGCTCTCCAGGGACTATAGGGATCGACTTTTATCATCAAATCTTGACTATTTTTGCCTTTTAAAATAATAGACTCCATATCCTACATAGAGGGATAATACTCCTCCCAGAAGAAATAGGCTAACAAGTAAAAATCCCAGTGCCAGGCATGAGATGTCTCCCCTAAAGTTGTTGATCAAGGGAAGCCTACCGACCTCCAAGACATTACAGGCTGTTGCCAATTCTCTTGGCTACCCATCAGAAGGTGATGTGTTATGCCTAAGTCGCGAAGACCCCCAAAGACCACCAAGGAGGCAGACTCACCAAACTGCAAAAACAAGGTTTATTGCTCTATCCAACTGTGGTAGGGACCTGGTCTAGTTAGCTGATGCAGCAGCCACCAGAGGCTGCTTTCTTTGTCTACTGCTGGGATATTTAAGGGAAAAATCGCAGGGTTACATCAGTGGGTGGGGAGAGGTATGGGTCAGTTCCTGATTGGTTGACATTTAGGGGAATTTTTCAAAGTCTTATTTTTGGCATGAAATACTTGTTTACCAGTTACTTTCATTGGCTGGCTGTAGAAGAGAACGGTTTGTGGTTTCTGTGACTTTGTCCGTTTCTTGCAGGTGACCTGTTACACACAGTTTCCAGGAATTGAGCATCCCGGAGACTAGGGGGTAGGGTTTGGTCTGACCTGTAGTTTGTTTGTGACGTGTGCCGAGTCAGGCCTACATGTCTTTTCTGAAGCATGTCATGGCTGCTAAAGCAGGGGACTGGGTGAGGGTCTGGTCCCTTCGATGGTAAGACACTACTGCTGAAGACAGCACAACTCTGGCCGTAGGACTTGGAGAAATCAAGTCAGTACTGGATAGGAAGCTTTTTCTCTGTTGGTTAGCTGTCATAGTATGGCACTGTGCTATTTATGCTGAACAGTAAACTCATCAGTGATAAGGACTGTCCTGGCAAGAACATGCCCATGGGTTCAATAGTGGCATCAATGTTATGGGGTAACCAACAACTTTCTCATTTCTCATAGGATTTGAGGCCTCTTCCACTGGAGAAAACCCGTAACTGGCATTGTAAATCTGGCCAAAAACATGTGGCTAGGAAATCCATAGAGTCTAGAACTGAACTTATTACCTTTAGTTTTGCTACATAGACATAGCATCAAAATGCCTTCTAAGTGCATATCCTTATACCCATAGACTAATGTAGTTCTCAGGTCTCATCAGACAAGTATGACAGCTGCTGAAAAACACAGGGAAAAAGTGTATGGGACACCCGTGTCCCACCTTCTCTCCCTAAAGCTCAGGGAACATTGCTGAGGAGAGAGAAGAATGATGGAAAGGCCAGAGTTCCAGGAAGATGTAATAAAACAGTGTCCTCTGGATCTGACAGGACTGCTGCTTTCACGGTAGGTGTAGGTGAGGTTGCCTGCACAACACTTGCATCAGATTAACCCAGTCAGCATTCCATCATGGTTGGTGAGGGGGCACATGGCTGTCCTCCCCAGCTGAGGAGCTATTGACAGTTGCTGGGGAAGAGGGAGTTAATTTTCTTTAGGGGTATGATCCTTGGTAGTTTGGCCATGCTTTAGTGGATGATCCAACACCATCCATGCATGAGCAACACAAATAGGACTCCAAGGGAACATTTGGTGGTATTTGGGAAGAGTTTGGGGGGGGGACATAAGAGTGAATGACCAATATTGTATGTATATATGAAATTCTGGGAAAAAACATACATATGGATATATATGAGAAACCTGGAGAGTTGGGGCATGCCTGAAATTCCAGGACTTACTAGGTTCCGGCAAGACTACCATGAGTTTGAGACCAGCCTGGACTATGTGACAAGACCATATCTTAATCAGAACACAGTAAAATAGAGCACTTGAAAAACAACTCATGTATTTTCAGCCATTTCAAATCCCGTTTGGATTTGGGTGAAAGGAAAAATGAAAACTTTAAGATTAGCGCTTAGCTTTCATAAAGTAATTTTCCTCCCCATTTTCAGGTCAGCACGGGACTCCTGCTTTCCTGCCCCCGCTCCCCACTGACCTCTTGCTTCGACTCCTGGTGTTAATGCAACTCTGCACTTTGTTAAATAATTCAACTCACTAGTATTTTATGTGAATTAGGCTTGTTGCTCCAGGTTGTGTGTTTTAACCACAGGACCATGGTCTGTGTTTTCTGAATCCAGTTCACTAATACTCTGCCAAGAAATGGTTCATTTTACACTAGAAAGGTAACAGATGATGACTTATTATTATTTATCTATTTTCGGGGGGTGTGGGTTGAGATAGGGTTTCCCTGTGTAGCCCAGGCTGTCCTGGAACTCCCTCTGTATACCCAGCTGCCTCCCTAGTACAGGGATTAAAGGCATGCACCACCACACCCAGCTGCCTTTTGTTTGTTTTTTTGGTTTGTTTTTCGAGACAGTGTTTCTCTATGTAGCGCTGGCTGTCCTGGAACTTGCTTTGTAGACCAGGTTGGCCTCAAACTCACAGAGATTCACCTGTGTCTGTGTCTGGACTGCTGGGGTCAAAGACTTGCACCATGGACCTTAAAGCACCCAGAACATCTTCTTTAGGAGTCCAGGGACCCAATATTGTCCACAATGATCTCAGCTTGCTCTTTCATCTTGACACTATTCAGATCATTCAGTTAAAGAGTGTGTGGTCCATGCCTGTACTCCAAACACTCTGGAGGCCCGAGGGAGGAGGATTCTTGAGGGTTTGGGGCCACCCTGGGTAATACAGCAGGTCTGTGTCTCAAAAAGAGAAGCACACACATTTATTGAACTCCTCTACACAGTGCTCTTTCTTTGTTGTTTTCTTGGAGACAGGTTTGTAAGCATTTTGTCGGGATGGGTCAGGACAGGATGGAACAGGAGTGGGTCAGGTATTCTGGCACTCGGGAGTCACAGAATACTCAGTATTACACAGCTCAGGTGGAAAGGTATTCTGGAGCTCGGGAGCCAAGGATACTGAGTGTTACACAGCTCAGATGTAAAGGTATCCTGGAGCTCGGGAGCCAAGGATACTGAGTGTTACACAGCTCAGGTAGAAAGGTATCCTGGAGCTCGGGAGCCAAGGACCACCACAGGTTGCAGTAAGCTTGGCAGCTTACAGCCTTGCCTCAGAGAAAGGCTTCTCCGGTGTATCAGCTCCGCTCCGGCAGGACAGGGTCTTCCAGCTGGGGATGTTCACCTAGTGTAGCAGTTTTGCTCCGCAGGAGGTTTCTCAGGCGAAGTTGCTACAGTTCAGCTCTGCTCCTGGAGAGCGGAGAATGGAGAGCGGAGAGCAGGGAGCCGGGAGCAGAGTGTAACAACTCCGCTCTGCCAAGGAAGGTTTCCCGGGCAAGTGTTACAGCGCTGCTCGCTCTGCTCTGCCCAGGGTCGCCTTTGCTCTGTCGCCGCCGCAAAAGATCTTTACCCGAAGCTCATCCAAAGGTGTTTATTGGAAGACAGCTGGACCAGCCAAGCTGAACATACACAGGGTTTATATAGGGATTCCTGGGGTTGGGGAAGTTTTTCCAGAGTAGGGATTGGTCCGATTTCAGTGCTGAGCTCAGATTGGCTAGAGCTCTGCTCCGGGATTGGTTACTTTTTCACACAGGATTAGGGTCAGATTTGGCTCTGGTTTCAGAGCCAAAGTGTGTTTCTTTCTCTGGTCCTTTTTAGCCTTTTGGCTCCAATTTTAGGGCCAGGGTACACTTCTTTCACTGACTCTGATTCCAGGGCCAAAGTGTGTTCCTTTGGCACTGGTTTTAGGGTCAGGGTACATTTCTTTGGTTGTGGTTGCAGGGCCAAAGTGTGTTTCTTTGGCTCTGCTCAGGGTGTGTTTCTTTGACTGGTCCCTTTTCCCTACAAGGTTCTCACTTTGTAGACCAGGCTGGCCTTGAATTCTCAGTGATCCTCCTGTCTCAACTCTCTGAGTGCTGTGAGTCCAGGCCTAGGGCACCACACCTAGCTAGTGTTCTTCGGCAGGACACCTACCCTCATAATAACATTGCAGTGCAAGGCTAATGACTACAGTAACTAGGGGGAATGACCTTATGCGTTTCCAACAGGCTTTGTAGTTAAAAAAAAAAAAAAGTGGGTGAGCCCAGTCAAGGTCCACACCCAGAGGGACAGAATGTGGCTACTAACTACAGTTCTGGAAAGCCCACGGTTTCAGCAACCCGATTGTCTCTGAGCAAATGACCTTTGGTAGCCATAGTGCCAGCTGACTATTCAAGCATGGGAAGAGGCAGCCTAGCAGCAATGTTGCTGCAGTGCACACAGGCACAGGTGCGGGCCTCGAGAGCGAGGACTACAGGTCCCAGCATGCAACGCAGCACCGGCGAGTCCCTGCGCGCTGACGTCTAACTCCCCGCGCCCTGTCCTGTGGTCAGGTCGGCTGTGGGAAGGCAGTGCTTGCTCGTGTATTTTCCCCCGCGTCTGTGGCTTGTTACAAGTTCTGACTCCCAGGGACCCATCTTGCCTGTCCGGGGTCCAAGATGGACAAAGTCTGTGCGGTCTTTGGAGGCTCCCGGGGGATCGGCAGGGCTGTAGCCCAGCTAATGGCACAGAAGGGCTACCGTCTGGCGATCGTCGCCAGAAACCTGGAAGTGGCCAAAGCCGCCGCCGGCGAGCTCGGCGGTAGGTACCGGAAGCAGTGCGGCCGCGGGGCGAGCCCCCGGGTCAGATCAGTCCGCACCCCAGATCGCTCGTCCCTCATGACCGTGTCCTCAGTGAGGCTGCCGCCCACCCCAGGCAGGTCTCCAGGAGCCCTGAGAAGTAGCCACCGCCCCACGGCCAGTACTGACATTGAGAGCCGCCTTGCTCGGGCCTCCGGTCCCGATCAGACGGAAAAGAGTGAAGTCAGGAGGGTCAGGCTGCCGGGTAGAAACAGCTGATTGCATTTCCCCGAGGTCTCTTGCCCTACGCGAAGGCACACGACAGCATTTCAAATAGAAACTCTTTGAGTAGCACCCCGTTGATAGATCGGGGCTTTCCCAAGTTGATCAAACACTTTAATAAGTTACTAATTTGCTTTGCTGTGTCCTTTTAATTGCATTCCAATTCCAAGTCCACCTCCACCCCCATTATTAATAACGGATTAGCCATCGAATTGCAAGTTTAAGTCTCGAAGATTGTGATACAACAACAACAACAAATAAATGTCATTATCAGTGAAAGATCTGGGTATTGCAGGTCTGAGGGTGTATCCGGTGCCTGCTATATTTATGTACTTACGTAGAAACAGACTGGCTTTGAACTAGTGATTCTTGTGCTCCAATCGCCCCATTGCTGAGATTCCCTTCCTGTGCCGTGACAGTGACATCTTCAGTACGAAGCACACTTTGAACCTGCAGCGAGCGTGATGTCTCCCTCCAGCCTTCCCTGCTTTCTTTGATACTCGGCCTCACCATGCAGCCTTGGATCCCGACCTGCCCTCTGCCTCCTCAGTGCTGGGAACACGGGAGCACCATGTGGTATCTGTTCGTCCTGGGTGTGAACACAAACTTGAGCACCCCGTCAGCACGGCTTCCAGTTTGCTGGACGGCTGATACTCCATGGTGCTACCTGTGGTGTGGCTCTCCAGCGTACAGCTGTTTCATCCGGGCTACACAGGTGTATCCCTAGGGTATTAGCGTGGTAGCCTTTGAGGTCTAACTGCTTGTGTGTGGCAATGGGAATCAAACTCAGAGCTCTACTGCGCCACCTCCTCTGCCCAGGCTGGCCACAAACTTACAGCCGCAGTCTCCAGTCCCAGTGCTGGGATCATGCGCAGTTACCATGCCCAGATTTCATTGAAGGTTTTAAAACTACATTTTGTAATTTAGACGGGTGAGTGCGCATGGGGGCACACGTGGACGGCAGAGGACAGTCTGCTCTCTCCTTCCACCAGATGAGTCTGAAAGGTCCAATCCAGATCATTCATTTTTTAAAAAATGTTCCAAGCTTATTTCTTCTTGAGGATTTGAGGTCTCACCCAGGATAGCCTTCAACTTGTGAATCCAGCAAGCTCCAACATTCGGGATAGCCGTGTTCCCAGCAAGAAAACTAAGTTCAAGTTAGTTTCTTTTTTGTGTGTGGTATTTTTTTTTCATGTGCCTACTGCAGTCCTAGCATATGTCAGGCTGAGTTTTGAAGACTGCCTAGGCAGCACAGTAAGACTTGTCTCAGAGCAAAAACAAAAAGAAGGAAGAAACAAACCTCATTATTTCTTCTTCGCCCCGTCCATTCTGTCCCTTACGTTGGGTGGTCCATGAGGGCGGGAAGCCTCCACATGTCTTCATCTCTAGGCTCAGCACAAGCTTGTCTTACAGACTAACCATATAGCAAATGCATTCAAACTTCAAGTTTAAGGTTTATAGGCAATTCTGATTTAACTTTGTTTTGTAGGAAACCACTTGGCATTTAGCTGTGACGTTGCTAAAGAGCAGGATGTTCAAAATACATTTGAGGAGATGGAGAAACATTTAGGTCCAGTACATTTCTTGGTAAACGCAGCTGGTATTAACAGGTTGGTCAAAACTAAGGTAAATTTCTTACATCTTTAAAACAAAGCTTTTCTTAGTAAGTCTATATTGTAGTTACTTTTCCATGGCTGTGACAAAATACCACGACCAAGGTAGTATATAAAACAAAGCGTTTAACTGAAGTGTGGTTTCAGTGTTAAAGTCATGTTGATGGGGTGAAGGCAGGGTACCAGCAGCAGCCGCCGACTCATCTGCATATAGGATGCGGAGATGGGACACAATGGGAACAGGGCAGTCTTTTGAAACCTCAAAGCCCACTCCCAGTGGCATACCTCCTCCAACAAGGCTTCTAAACCTTCCCAAACTTGGCCCCAAAGTGGGGACCAAGTATTCAAATACACTAGCCTATGGGGACCATTCTCACTCAAAACACAATTAGCATGAGGTCATATATTAGGCTGGCTTACTTCTAATTGCAAAGGCATACTTTGAAAATGTCAATCCTTACATCTTTTATTAAAAAAGATTATGTGTTTGCTTGTTAGTATGTATCCATGAGACTAAAAGAGGGCATAAAATCCCCTGGAGCTAGAGACCCAGGACTTGTGAAGCTACTTGATATGTGCGCTGGGAACTGAACTTGGGTCCTCTGTGAGATCAGTGTGTGCTTTCAGTCACGGAGCCATCTCTTTACCCCTATTCTTCTATGCTGAGATAATGTCCAGTTGGATCAGTCCTAATACACTGTCACCAGCCCATGACCCAGCATGCCAGAAGACCTGCTTAGTCTCTTCTCGTAGGAAGCCAGTGTTCTGAGTTCTGATCTCAGTGAGTTTACTACTAATGTAGAATAATAATGTAATAATAAAAGATAGGGGGTTGTCATTTTTTAAAAACGTGAGTTTAGGGGGAAATATTTAGAGTCACAGTCCCACTAAACAAGGTTAGCCCATTTGATTCTGTGTTTAGCCACCAGCAACATTTGTCACTCTGGTAGAGAGGCAGAGAACCCTGCCTTCCACGTGGCTTCTTTCTGGCTCATCACCATCCAGTTTAGTAGATTTAAAATCAAGTTCCAATTAGGACTGCTTGGCACTTAACTAGAAAGCACTGCTTATACTATATTTTAAATTGGACTTGTTTTTTTTTTAAAGACTTACTTTTGTTACTTGTTGTTGTCGTTTTGTTTTATTTTTTGAGACTGGGTTTCTCTGTGTAACAGCCCTAGCTGTCCTGGAACTCACTCTGTAGACCAGGATGGCTTCGAACTCACAGAGATCCGAGATCCGCCTGCCTCTGTCTCCTGACTGCTGGGATTAAAGGCGTGCGCCACCATCGCCCAGCTTACTTGTGCTATTTTAAAATTTTGCGTGTGTATGTGAATATGCATATGGCAGCAGTTGCCTGGGCGTCCTGAAGTGGTCGTTGGATACCCTGGAGCTGGAGGTACAGGTGGCTGTAAACTTGGTCCTCCTGGAACAGTAGTGGGACCTCTCAACTCAGCCAGATCTCCAACCCTTAGACTTGAACTTTTCCATCTACTTGCTGATGGTCCTGCTGTTTCTTCCTCGTAGAGATGGGCTTTTAGTAAGAACAAAAACCGAAGATATGATATCTCAGCTTCACACTAACCTCTTGGGCTCCATGCTGACATGCAAAGCTGCCATGAAGACGATGATTCAGCGGGGCGGCTCCATCGTGAATGTAGGTGAGTGTTCACCTTCACGCGTTTGTAATTGCTGCATGTAAATGTCAGCGTACCTAATCCACTGATTCACTTGACAGTGAAATTCATCCTTCTGTTACCCAGGGGAAGTAACTGACTCATCAGTGAATGGGACAGAACTCACAGATGTGCATCTCCACAGCAGTCAGCTGGGCATCAAGTGAGGGGCTTACCAAGTATTAAAAAGTGACACTGGAGGCCATGTGATAAATGACATCTAGATTCAGGGTTCCAAGACTGTATGGAATGGGAGAGGTCACAGATGGACACATCTAATGGACTTGCTGTATGTGAATGTCGTACTAATTTTGTCAGCGGTCTCAATTTCAAGACAAATCAAGCATCCCCTCTTCTTTTTTCTTTCCCTTTCTCTGCCTTCCTTCCTTCCTTCCTTCTTTCTTCCTTTCTTTTTTTTTGTCAAACTTTTAATGATTGTAAAAGCCAAAGGGCCAGATAAGGTGCTCTGAGATCATGTTTCCTAGAAATGACCAGGATGCTATACACATGATACCTCAACAACATGGACAGTGGTGTTTCAGTAGATGCCTTAGTTAGGGTTAATATTGCTGTGAACAGACACCATGACCACGCGGCAACTTTTGTAAGGAAAACATTTAATTGAGGTGGCAGCCTACAGTTCAGAGGTTCAGTATATTGTCATCGTGCAGACAGACACAGTGCTGGAGAAGGCGCTGAGCGTTTGAGAGTTCTTATATCTTGACTCACAGGCAGCAGCAAGTGGTCTGTCTTACTGAGTGTGGCTTGAGTGTATATGAGACCTCAAAGCTTACCTCCACAGTGACACACCTCATCCAACAAGGCTACATCTCCTAATAGTGCAACTCCCTTTGGGGGCCACTTTCTTTCAAACCCCCACAGTAGACATTGCTAAGACAGAAGAGGGAAAACTCAAGGGGACCCCCCCTAAACAAAGAGCTATAAGAAACCGAGGACTCCTGAAAACAGGAGAAGTAGCCTTCCCCAGAGATGAGCCCCCTAATTGGTTATCCAATACCAAATGGTCAGGCCTGATGACGTTACATACAAGCAACACGAAAAAGATACTGCAGGTTGTTTTTATGTATATATATATATATCAATAATAATAAAGAGGAAAAGAGTCTTGATTTGAGAGTATGAGGGGACATATGGAAGGGTTGGATGGAGGAGGAGGAGGTAGAAAATAATGTCATTATATTTTATTTTTAAAAATTGCAAAGAAATCCAGTCTAATTTTTCAAATTAGAAAGAAAACTTGTAGACATGGAGGCTAAATAATATTTACAGCAGTTGCATGGAACACTGGTCTGTGTAGTGTCAAGGTTTAAGAAAGATTAAACCTCAGCTTTTCGGAGTGGATGTAAGTAGCCTGTAGTTTGTTGGAAGCATGAGGAAGAGGCATTGTGGGGATTCATGCCTGAAGAGTGCAGAATAACGTGGAATTTGATTTCATTGTAGTCCTTGAAAACTGTAGCGGACTATCTGCTTTTTATTTTAAGTGACAAGAAATACCTTCAACAGTTACCAAAAGGGTTAGTGCTCTTAGGAGGAATTGGTGACCTGTGGCCTTCTGACACAGCCACTTCAGATTTTGGGTTCCTAAGACTTGGCACATAGACCTGAGACTGTGGCTGGATATCACCGGGCATTTTATTAAAATACCTACATTTTAGATTAGTTTCAGAAACCTAAGTCCTCTTAGAATGTTGCTAAGACTGGTGTATTTATAATAAGGGGCATCCTTATTCAATAGAAAAGTACCACAGACAAGGCTGAACCTGTAGACTTGTTGGTATTTCAGAAATCATTACTTTGACCACATGAAAATGGAGTGTGTCAGACAGCTAGTTTTGAAAGCTTCCCCTTGGGCCTTTCTGCCTTGCCTGGAACTTCATCCTTCCTTCCTTCCTTCCTTCCTTCCTTCCTTCCTTCCTTCCTTCCTTCCTTCCTTCCTTCCTTCCTTCCTTCGTTGCTTTCTCCATACACCCCTTCTCCTGCCCACCCCTTCCCCTACCCTGATGGCCTTTCCTCCTTCCTGTGCTGCATAGTTCTTTTCTCTCTTCGCTAAGGTACTGCCTTTGATGATGTGCCATGTGACAATCAGCTGTGAAGGGCAGCCAGGTGACAGCGGTTCTGTAGATGATTTTTCACTGCTTTTACTGTTCCTCTTCATGCTTAGATACACACATGTCCGTCATTGTTTGTCATTCTGTGCATTCATGTTATGCAAGTTTGTAGCTTGGGGACAGCGGGAGATGTACATAGTGCAGAAGAAGTGAACTATAACAGCTTGTTTTATGTAAGCATTCTCTGGGATGCTCGAACTACCGTGAAACCACCTTACAGTGTGTTTCTTGGAGCAAGTTACTGTCATCAAACAATGGTTGAATGTATAATGTAAGTAAACATTTTAACACTGGGCTTCTTGATTACAATAAAAAAGTAGAATATTCTCTTTTTCTAAAGTAATTTCAATTTTGTGTGCGTGTTCAATTTTTATTTTGTAAACACAGGCCAGTGGTGCAGAAAATTGCTTCCCTACTTCTGTTTTGCCAGCATGTATTTGCATAAATTGATATTTGAGTTATAAATTATTCTCACATAGTTATTAGATGAGGTCACTGAGTAATGTTTAGTAGCAAGTACAAGTAAATATAAACAAAAGTAGCAAAATTGCCCGGTTAGGAAGTTTGTGTGGTCACTTTTGATTGACAGTACTTTATTTATTTATTTATTTTTAAAGATTTATTTATTATATATACACTGTTCTGTCTGCATGTCAGAAGAGGGCGCCAGGTCTCATTATAGATGGTTGTGAGCCATCATGTGGCTGCTGGGAATTGAACTCAGGACCTTTGGTAGAGCAGTCAGTGCTCTTAACCACTAAGCCATCTCTCCAGCCCCAGATTGACAGTACTTTAAATGTGCTGGATTTATTCTTGTATACGAAAGTGAATACTTGTTCATATCTACTTATTAATCATAAAATTAATCAGCTTTTATTTTACATTTTCTTGCTTTAACATGTTTCTGCATGTGCTTGTTATTTTTCTGTTGCTGTGATAAATGCCATGACCGTGAATGCTTATAAAAGAAAGAGTTTATTTTGGCTTATGGTCCCTGAGGGATACAGGTCCATCATGGTGGGGACACAAGAGGCAGGCATGGGGACAGAAGCGGGAAGCTGAGAGGTGAGGACCTCTCAGCCACATCCAGGAAGTAGAGAGAACTGGAGGAGGGGTGGAAGTGTGTACTCCTAAAGCCCGCCCCTCCCCATGACACACTTCCAGCAAGGCCACACCTCCTAGCACCCCCCAGCAGTGACACCAGCTCTGGGAGCATCCACATGTCTGCACCTCGGGGGACTTTTCTCGATCCTACTGTCAAAGCCAGCATTCTCACCTGACCTCTCCCGACCTTTCACACACGTAACAGGTCATGGAAGCCCCTTCCCTGGTCCTGATAGGTTTACATCATTTCTTTTAGTTTCTGTTCGCCGTGTGTCAGGAGCAGGTTGGACCCTTGTCAATGTTACTGCTCCCAGGACAATGCTTAGAGTTACTCATTTTAGCAAAGAATGGAGGAAGGTGGGCTTACCTTTCTGACTTGTGGGCCGTACATTCTGTGAGTTCTCAATAGCAAACCAGTTGGGTCACGCTTGCTTTGTTTCTTCTTCCGTGCAGGGAGTATTATTATTTTTCGTTTCTTCTTCCTTGCAGGGAGTATTATTGTTTTTCGTTTCTTCTTCCTTGCAGGGAGTATTATTGTTTTTCGTTTCTTCTTCCTTGCAGGGAGTATTATTGGTTTAAAAGGCAACGTGGGCCAGTCTGTGTACAGCGCCAGCAAAGGAGGGCTCGTTGGGTTTTCACGCTCGCTTGCTAAAGAGGTTGCGCGGAAGAAAATCAGAGTAAATGTGGTTGCACCAGGTCAGTGAAGATTTCCTGCAATAACCGTACTATGGTTTTGTGGTATAAAGAAAGGACATTTATTTGCCCATAATTGGTAAATTGATAGTCATTAGTTGACATTTGGACAGTGTCATTGTGGAAAGAAATAATGAGCTAGTTACCAAAATTTTTTCTTGTACCTCATGTTTTACATAAAAATCTTTGCTTTTAAAGTCTGCCTAAGTTAAGGAATGCATTGTGGTAAGAGAACCGTGGAGATCATCTTGAGTTTTGAGACTGGTCTTTTACCATACTCTCTAGTTATACTGGGACTGTAGGCTTGCTCTACCACACCTGGCTTATTTTAGCCACATTAACAGTTTAGAAAATTATGACCAGGGATTTGATGTAATTCACCTAAAGCTACCTGGCTGTTTCATGGGAAGCTGAAAAGCAATGTCCCCAAGGTTTTCCTTTAGAACCATAATATTTATGTCTTTTTGTCCTTATGCTACTGTCGTTTCTCTAAATGATCTGGAATTCTCTATAATTTCTTACCTATTTACATATTTATTTACTTATTATTCCCTTTTGTTCACTGATAAACTATTTGCCATTTACTAATAAAAAGATACCATAATTCAGATCTACATGTCACTGCTAAGCCTAGGTACCTAGATATGGTGTCTTTGTCTTGCAATTTTAAGTACTTAAGAATTAGTCACTGTGTAAAAGTTTGTTCTTTCTAGTGACAGGCAGTTTGTAGGAGAGTTCGTTGCTGTAAACGTCTGCCACCTTTCCCTTTAAACCCTCTCCTGGCTTCAGTTTGCACCTGAGAGCTGGCGCTCATATTGAGCCAGGAGGTGTTTTTTAGAAGGTTCTGTGAACCTGTTTGCTGCATTAACATACATAACATACCTTCATCCCAAGTCACTGTTTAGTCACACACTAAGTTCAGACATTCCAGTTCCATGAGCATTTAGTAAGCTATTGCAGCTCAGGTGTGTCATCTTTGAAGGAAACAAGGCAAAGGGCACCCAAACCAAAGCTTTCCATGGAATTCTGTGTCGTATGTTGCCTGGCCTTCCGTGGAATTCTGTGTCGTTATGTTGCCTGGCCTTCCGTGGAATTCTGTGTCGTTATGTTGCCTGCTTCCTGCTTCTGTATGCTTTGTCAGGCTGCCACTGTCAGTGCTGGCTGAGCTAGCCATCTCCCACCATCTACAGGGTGGTTGATTGGTGGTGTGGAACCACATGGTCTTGCCCCCTCTCTCTTTTCGGGGTTGCAGTGGAATGAGTAATGAGGAGTTCGTGCTAGCGTTTGGTGACGCTAGAGCTGACTGGCTGAGAGGAGGCCCTTCCCTCCAGTTCACAGAGACTCATGCAGCAATGTCCCCTCTGCAGTCACACAGACTCATGCAGCAATGTCCTCTCTGCAGTCACACAGACTCATGCAGCAGAGGTCCCGGGTCATCTTCCTCCGTGCCAGAGCTGTACAGGGTCCAGGACTAACAAAAATGAACGCGGTACTTCTGCTGCAAGATGGGGAGTAGAGCTGCAAAGACACAAATGAACAAATCACTGCAATGTCAATGCTAAAGGTAGACTAGCGATGTGTACCACACTGGGGAGATGCTGAAGAGTGTCTGCCCTGGGCTAGTTGTCAAGGCAATGGATGCATGGTGGGAATCCGGCTGGTATACAGAGCAGAAGTTTTAAGGGTGTTATGGAAGTGCCATAGAGCCGTTTGTAAAGATCTAATTTTTCCAGTGCAATTCATATTGGGATAAAATCCATTGTTAAAATGTGGTCACTTAGTAGGGTGGCCTTACATTATATTATATTGTGTGCGTGTGTGTGTGTGTGTGCAGTACAGATTGAAGTGACAAGATTAAATCAAATGTGCAGATTATTTATTGACTTAATCTTTAAACAGAGCTGACAAACATGCACTATGGTATACTCACCCATGCACTCACATGTGGAGACCAGTCAATCACGTCTCCACTGTATTCTTTGAGACAGGGTCTCTCACTGAGCCTGAAGCCCACTGCTTAAGCTCAGTGAGAGCCTGTGATCTGTTTGTCTTCCCTGGGTCCCCCGTGCTGGTCCCTTGTGCTGCCATGCCTGGCTCTGCTGTGGGGCCAGGGTGTGCAGACTGAGGACCTTCTGCAAGTACAGAAAGTGCTTTCTTCACTTCCCAGCCCTCAGGCCTCTCGTTTGTCTCTTTTTATGTCAAGTTTTCCTGTTTAACTTCAAGTGGAGGTTCCAATTATCAGGAAAACACTTGGAAAGCAAATTGTAGCAGGAAAACCAGGGAACAAGGCAAATAATGAATTAGACTGTCAGTCCATCCTAAATCCTTGACTGTTCTTTAAAGATCTTGTTCTGTAAAGCACTTGCTAGCGTTGGTATTTACTACTACTTGGCTTTTAAAGTTGTCATCATAGATGGATCTCACTTTGGAAATCACTGAATATGAGAAGTAATATTTGATAGATTGACTATCGTCAATTACTAGTCAAAATGAATGAGTGAAATGTACTTTCTTCAGAGACTATAAAATAAAAGATAGATTCTCATTGGACAATAACTACACGTGATGTAGTGTGATCCTAATTAGTCTTAGCAATAAGAACCCAGAGTCAGATTATCCGGGTAAATACTGAACGGTCAGAAAAGTAAAGGAGCCAGTCACTAGAGAGACCTCTTACCTCTACCAAATCCTCAGACTGAAAGGGATGAGCTTCTTTCTCTGCGAATCCTCAGACTCAATGGGCAAGAGATCCTGTCTCCTCCACCCTCCTTATATCCCTGTCTCCACCTCTCTAGTGCTGGGGTTAAAGGCATGAGATCCCAAGTCCTGGTGTGAGCCACCACTGCCTTGGCCTCTATGGTTAACTAGCGGCTAGCTCTGCCCTCTGATCTTCAGGCAAGCTTTATTTGTTAGAGCACAAACAAAATATCACCACAGGCTTACTTTTAAGAGCCAGGGTATCCCAGACTCTAAAGACTTCATATTTTGAAAGTGGGCTTTGAGGTGTGACCTATTGCTGGAGCATTTGCCCAGCATGCACTAGGTCCTGAGTTTGATCCCCCCCCCCAGTGTGTCACATGTGCCCCAGTGTGTCTTTGTTCTACGTTGCTAGGATGCATGCCACTTCACTTACTGTTTCTAAGTGTCCACTAAAGTGATGCAGCAGCATCCCCATTGAACAGTGGCACCTACTGGTAGTTTATAGTTTTTATAGCCACTTAAGACTTTGCGAATACATGAATAGCAAAAGCGGGGGAGCTAGACAAACTTTCCAGAACCTTACAAATATGAATGATATGGAGAGAGTCTTTTGGGGCCAGGGGGATGACAAACTAGAAAGCAAGACAGCATAATGAGAGGTGTATGGGATGCTTAGGGACCACTAATACTGCTCTCAACTCTGTGATAGATGAGGTGGGTGCCTAAGAGATAATCATAGGTAGTGCTTTGGGCTGTGAATATATTTCTAAGGGAGACATGGTTCATGAGCATTGCCCAAGGTCATCTGGTACAGCCCAAATGATTTATCTAAGAGATTAGCTTAACATTTCTTATGCAATTTCTGATGAACTGGAGCAGACAGATGAGGTCTGAAAAGCTGCACATAGAGTAGGTTGGAATAAATATTGTGTGTGGTACTGCGATGGTAGATGACATGACAATAGCATTTGTTAAAGCCTATGTGTACAGCTAAACGTCGACTCCTCAAGTAGTCCACGGACTCTACCTAGTAATGTGTCAGTAGTGTTTATTACTTGCAGCACATAGACCATACCAAGGTAAGATATTGCCAGTATGGGAAATGGAGGGAGCAAGGGGTGAGGACAGTGAGATCAGCATAGGAGCTGTTGTTCAATAGTTATGTGCACCTAAAAATGCATAAAAAATAAAATCTACTAGTTAAAAAGGCACCTTAAACATAATTCAAGAGGAAAAACTAGTATGTCAGGGCTAATCCCTCCCTTCCTTAAAAACACAAAACATGTGCACATGCTAGAGTTCACTCAAGGGGCCAGAGGACATGCAGAGGTTGGCCCTTCCATCTTTGATCTGGGGATTGAACTCAGCCCATCAGGCTTGGCAGCAAGTGCCTTTATCCCCTGAGCCATCTCCCCAGCCCCGCCCTTCCTTCCACGCCCACTTTACTTTTAGATTTTGTTGCAGTTTAGTGGTGTCAACAGCTCTCTGTGCCATTTGTCACTGCTAGTGTGTGTCCGTAGGTCTGGAGAGGCTGCGGAAGGTCCCCTGACAACTGCTAGCCCAATTCTCCAAGCTGGAGCTGTGGAGGAGGCTTCTGTGTAGTAGGGCGCCACACACCTATTTGTGTCTAAGAAACTGTAAGAAATGGACCCTTTCCCCCTCAGCTTCTTAACTTTTCAGTCATGATAACTTCTTATTTGAAAGCCAGCCATGCACAGCTGAAGGGAACCAGAGGGGACCCGCCATCTTGGATCTGTTTGTTCGTCTTGTGATGCGAACTCATCCCCGTGTCAACTGGTATCCAGCTGCCTTCACTCACAGCTGAGATCACAGAGCGGGAGACAGACTCTTGACTGGTGAGCCTGAATCCAGTGGTCTGCTCACCACAGCAAAGTCCGCCAGAGCCGGGTGGAAGTTGGCCTTGAAGTTGCTACCCTAAATTGACAAGAGTGTTCATAAAACATGGATACTGTAATATCTTGTGGCTTATTTTATTTGTAGATTAAAATACATGAATTTATGGATTAGTGTGAAATACACTATGCTGATTTTGTTAGAATTTTAAAGAATAAAAGGCAGTTGTATCATGAATTCTTTGAGAAGATAGCACAGCTTTTTCTTTTTTATTTAAAGATTTTGAGATTACACATGAATACTGTATTTATATCATTTCCATTCCTCCCTCTCCAACTCCTCCCATTTCTCCCCAACTCCCTCTCATATTCATGACCTCTTCTTCAGTTAGTATATTACATATACACATGTGCTATACAGGTATAACAGCCTGCTAAGTCCTTTTAGTGTGGCTTCTATGCATATTTATTTAGGGCTGACTGCTGGGAATTGGGTAAACTACTGGGGGCCTATCCTTGGAGGAGACTGCTTCTCCTTTTCACAGAGACCATTGATTGGCTACAGTTCTTCATCTCAGAGTCAGGCCCCTTGAGATTCCTCCTTCCATGCTGCCGTGTCAACTGGCATGGTCATTGTGCGTGTCTACGTGACCATATGGTTGAGCTTCCCTGTCATATGCAGGAAAAACTATTTCTTAGCAGACATCCTGGTCCTCTGACCTCCAGTCTTCCCAAACCCTCTTCTGCAATGTCTCCAGAGCCTTAGCTTAGGGATTGTAACATGAAGTTGTTAGCATTAACATTAGTGATTTTATTTCACTCAACTTTTGTAATCTGAAGTGATTATAGGGTTCATTTTCTCTGGGGCATCCTTGAAAAGAAGTGTGCTAACACATGGCATTGGATCTCAGTAAACTCACAGATTCTTGGGTTGGGTTCTGTTGGATTCTGGCTTCCCCCTGAAGAACTAAGCTTCGTCTTTGGGCCAGGTGTGGTGGCACGCTCCTTTAGTCCCAGCACTCAGGAGGCAGAGGCAGGTGGGTCTCTGTAAGTTTGAGACCAGCCTAGATGACGTAGGAGTTCCGGGGCAGTCAGGGCTACACAGTGTGACCCCATCTCAAAACCGCAGGTTTGCTTATCAGTTGCAAGTCCGCAGAGGCTGTCTGCCTTACGTGTCAGCGACTGCCTTCAGCCTTTCCTTCCCGCACCGTATTAAAGATGCAAGGGAATGGTGCTGACTTTCCAAATAAATGTGCTGAGATTGTATTGTAGAGGGGACGGTGTTTTACAGTATATTCTCATAGGCAAACACAAGTAATACAACATTAGTTTTGTTGTTTCTGGCCCTCATTATAGGCCATATGTAACTCATAATGTTCATATTTTTCCATATTTTATCTGAGTGCAATGTATGTATGTATATATATCTGGGCGGACAGCTTGAAAAGACAAGTACAAAGAAAGTCATCATCTGGTCTATAATTCTGGTAACTACAGTCACTTTGGTGTCTAGTGATAATCAGATAATAATGGTAGCATCTTGTCTATTTCACCTTGTTTTCTGGAGTGATAAAGTGGAATTCACATATAACCTTCTTTTAATATTACAGATGTGAAATCTTCATTTTTGTCTTTTAATACCAACATTATCTTATGCTGTGGATCTATCAGGTCTTATCCCATTCGTTGTTGAAAGACCTTTCTATTTCTTCCCAGATCTCATGGGTAAACTCTCACTGTCTTAGATTTTGTGTTAGAAAAAAGCTACAGTATTTCTCACAGGGCTTTAAAGAAAGCATTTAAGTTTTCATAAGTGAAATCCCAAAATGAACTTAATTATATAGTAATACACAATAAACTAGCAGAAGAATTCATTATTTAGCTCACGGTTATCGTTGGCAAATGATAATACATTTAAGTTGATCTGTAATTGAATTGATAAATGATTTAGTTTTAACATGAGCCAGTTTGAAGACTTTGTTGTGGCTGTACAGTGAGCTTTCACCTCCTATGACTTGTCTGGCAGTCAGTACACTTTGTCACCTTGACCTATAATCTCTCCCCATGCCTGCTGCTCTCATGAAGATTAGTGTTTGCTTAAAAAAAAAAACAGCGATTGAAGCTGGGCATGGTGGCATACACCTTCAGTCTTAGCTCTCAAAAGGCAGAGGCAGGTGGATTTATAGATGTTTTAGGCTAGCCCATTCTACCTAGTGAGATCATGTCTCAAAAATTTTTTAGTATTCATTAGTGAGCAAAATACTATATGGTAATATTTTAGTAGTGATATGTATTTGTCTCCATAATCTTGTAGGGATTTCTTAAATCAGTGTTTCTCAACCTTCCTAATGCTTCAACCCTGTAATACAGTTCCTCATGTTGTGGTGACTGCCAGCCATAACATTATTTCATTGCTACTTCATAACTGTAATTTTGATACTGTTATGAATAATATGATAAATATCTCCTATAAGGATATCTGATATGCAAACTCTGTGAAAAGATCATTTAACTCCCAAAGGTGTTGTGACCCAAAGGTTGAGAACCACTGTCTTAAACCTGTAGTTGATCCAGGTGTGTTGTTTGTGTGTGTGTGTGTGTGTGTGTGTGTGTGTGTGTGTGTGTGTGCGTGCGCACATGTGCATGATACATACATACAGTCATTGGGGATTATTGAAAATATAATATTTCATTCTGTAGAACTTGCTCTCTGCATACTCTATTGCATATATATTGGCACATATACCAATATTGTGTTAAAAATTTCATCTTTCATGTACATCGGGATTAGATGTGATCATAAAATTTTCTTATGTGGACTTTGGAATCCTGGGCTATCCTCTCATCAGTTATCTTGGTTTAGTAAATGGAATGGATTTTTATTAAGATTGCAAAGTCAGTTCCTAGGACATCTTTGTGATAACCTTCTCTCAACACTGTTTCTCGCTTTCTCCCCCACCTGTGTGAAAATCATTTCTATAGTGTTTTATTTATAGCATAATAAGCAGAGTCATCAGAATTTATTACATTAAGACTGGATATATAGCAATTACTTCTTCTCTCTATAGATTATAGTTACCCCCAAGAATGCACTGTTTTATTCATTTGTATCTACCTAATACATTCTGCAGTGTTATCTTTATGTTTTCCAAGCAGTGAGCCATGGACTTGGGAGTCAGGCATTTTTGTGTTCCATGCACATTCGCTGAGTTAAAGTGAATAAAACTGTACACTTAATTCATTGCTATAAATATTCTGTATTTCGTAAACAATGCTTCTTAATAATGACACGCTCTCAGAAGCAAATTCTCTTTATAAAAGACAAACAGCCATCTTTAGTGTGTATCCTTTCAACTGAATTAGCATTTCTCTTTCAGGATTTATTCACACGGATATGACAAAACACTTGAAAGAAGAGCACTTAAAGAAAAGCATCCCTCTTGGGAGGTTTGGAGACGCTCTGGAGGTGGCGCATGCGGTGGTGTTTCTCTTGGAGTCACCGTACGTCACGGGACATGTTCTGGTTGTGGATGGAGGCTTACAACTCACTGTCTAACTAGACGTGATTCTGTTGTGATTCTTGGGGATTAGGGTCAAGTGCATAGTTTTCTGTTAATTAGGCCATCATATCTATGAGTGACATTTGATGCTAAAATGATTATTTGTATGAACGCATTTCAAAAGAACAATGTGTGATCAATTGTAATCTAAAAGGTATGAATTCTCAATCTTTAGAGACCATAGCAATTTTAGTACATAGATATTTTGTAAGGTATATACATCTGTATTAACTTATGTATCTTTGCCTTGAAAATAGAAAATTCTGTTGTCTAATTGTGACAGTTTAATTGTATCAAGCTGGATTTTTAAGACACCAACTTTGTGCTATTGCAAAAATAAGAGTATTTACTGAAGGTTGAGATCAGTTGTTTTATTAGTTACTTTTTAAAGTCGTCATGGTAAAACACCATGACCAAAAGCAACTTAGAGGAGAAAAGGGTCTCTTGATGCTTACGGTTCCAGAGAGACGGGATCCCTCATGGCTGGGAAGTCAGGACAACAGTCAGGGAAGGCATGGTGATGGGAATGGGAAGCTAGCTGGTCACATTTCATCCATACACAGGAAGCACGGGAGGGAACAGGAAGTGGAGCCCGGCTGTGAAATCTCAAAGCCCATCTCCAGTGACATACTTCTTTTGGCAAGACTTCACTTCCTAAAGGTTCCATAACTTTTCCGAACGGTTCCACTGACTTGGGACCAAGGTCCAGGCATGAATCTGTAAGGAAATTGCACATTAAAGCACAGCGCTTTAGCAGCCTCGCCAAGGCTCATCTTTTGTTTATCTTTTGGCTTTCATTTTGAGGGAGGAGTTGACAATGTGGGCTGGGATTCCTGGTGTGTACCACCATTCTTTGTGCCTATATTGCATATACATGTGTATATGCTGTCATTTGTTTAACACAGGTTGGAAAAAATGTCAATCAGAGGAAGATACATTTAGAGAGGACCCCCCTCCCGTCTCACACCGCTCCTCCTCCTGTCATTTCTCTGCCTAACTCCCTCCTCTTCTTCATCATCTTTCTGAGCCAGGATCTCACTCTGTAGCCCTGGACGACCTGAACTTCTCATGGATCCCGTGCTCGCCTTGGACTCACAGCAGTCCTTCTGGCTTAATGTCCCAAATGCTGAGCTTATACATGTGAGCCATCATACCTGCCTTAGACTTGACTGTGCCTGCGTGAGTGTTCTGTGTGTGGTGTATGTATGTGCGAATGTAGTGTGTGTGTGTGTGTGTGTGTGTGTGTGTGTGTGTGTGTGTGTGGTTATGTGTCTGTGGTGTGTATGTATGTAGTGTGTAAGTTTGTGCATGTGTATGTGATATGTGGTGTGTGTATGTATATGCATGTATATATGTGGTAGGTGTATGTATATAGTGTGGCGTATGTATATGCATGTGTATGTGTGGTATTTGTGTGTATATATGTATGTATGGTATGTGGGTGGTTTATGTATGTATGTAGTGTGTGTATGTACATGTACGTACATATATGGGGTGTGTCTATATGTGTAGTGTGGTGGCCAAAAGAAGACATTGGTGTCTTCCCTCCTTATTGACTTGAGGTGGACTGTCAGTGAACTGGAGGTGAGCTCTTGAAATCTTGCTGTCTCTGCCCCTCAGAACTGGGGTTATAGGCATGCATGGGCATGCTGGACTTTTTACAGGCTTGCTGGGGATACACAACTAGTCCTCCTATCTCTTCAGCCATCTCTACAGCCAAAACCTGCTTTCTTAGAGTGATGCTACTTTTCACAAAGGAATCAGCTAGCATGAGTATGGCGCAGTTGACCCTGTCCCTAAGGATGGTGAGGGTGAGTGAGGGTGCCTGCTATAGCGATGATCTACACAGATCCTGAACTTAGGGAGCTTTTCCCTCATGACAACCTCAGCATAGCGAGCTACTTAGCAATATGAAGAGCTGTGTGTGGTAGTGTGTGTCCTGCAACCCTGGCTCCCAGGAAGCTGAGGCAGGATGGATGACCAATAATTCAGTCAGCCTGGTCTACATAGTTCTGATCAATTTGGTCAACACAGGGAGATCTTGTCTCAAACCAAAGTGCAAAAACTATAATTTTATATTTCATATGTATATATTTATTCCTTATACATATAAAATTATAGTGAGGTGTGATTGCATATGCTTTTAATCCCAGCCTTCACACATAGACATGCACAATATGCATATATACATACACATGTATACATACACACATAAATAATTATATTTTGCATTAGTGGATATAATAATGGTTCAGCCCCAAGTCTTAAAATGGTAATGAGTAATTACACTTGAATAGTCATAAAAGTGTACAGTAACAATGGATTATTGTTTTCACTAGAAATAATGCATGGACTTTTTTCAGTGGTGCTGGGATCAAGTCCGGGGCCTGCTAGGTGCCAGACAAGTATTTTACCACTAAGCTTCCTCCTCAGCCTGAAAAGCATTGGTTTTACAAGAGAATGTTTGCTGGAAAGTAGAGATAGAGCATGTAACTGAGAGTAATATAAATAGCATTCCTTTTGCCTTGAACTCTGGTGGGGAATAATGAACTATTTCTGTATGCTAGATTCATGTTGTTTTTTATCTACTATCATCCAAATGTTTTTAATATTTCATTTTAAAAAGTAGTGTTTTAGCTGGGCATTGGTGGCACACGCCTTTAATCCCAGCACTTGGAGGCAGAGGCAGGTGGATCTCTGTGAGTTTGAGGCCAGCCTGGTCTACAGAGTGAGTTCCAGGACAGGCTCCAAAACAATACAGAGAAACCCTGTCTCGAAAAACAAAACAAAACAAAACAAAAAAAGTAGTGTTTAGTAATGTTTTTACCAAGGTGCTTATAATCTCAGATCCTTGGACTTGGGCAGCTGAGACAAGAACATAGCAAGTTCAAGGATGTGCTGGGTTACATAGATCAAGGACAGCCCGGGAAAGTCAGCATGGCTCTGTTTCAAAATAATGATACATTTTCAGAAGGTCTGGGGATGTGGCAGAGCGCTTGCCCGCAGATGCAAGGCCCTGGTTTCAGTCCCTAGTGCTTCAGACTAGAACAGAACAAAACTTAGCGATTCAGGAGTCCTCTAACTGCTCTTTTCAAGCAGAACATTATCTAAGTGGACATTTAATTATAAATACTGAACGTCAAATCAAAAATATGAATAAGATGTACTAATAAGTTCAGAATAATAGTGTCATAATCAGAAGCTGTATACTAAACATGGAGTCCTTTATCTCTGACACACTTTCTTTACTTAGTTTATTAGCATTGTTTCTTTCAGTACTGGGGATTGAACCTTGGGCTTTGGGCCTGTCTGCTAAGTCAGTGCTATACCTGTAGGTTACATCCACAGCCTTTGAGTCAGGGTGAGAACACAGGTGAGTGCACTTAGCATTGCTGAATGAACAACCTATTAAATCCAAGGTGTGGCCGTTGGAGAACTTTCAGGGAGAAGCATTTCTAGGCATGTTAGGAAATGCAATGCGTAGGATGTTTCACAAGTGGTGGGTGTGGTAGGAGAGGTAGCTTCCTTTGGTCTGACCCACTCATCTTGGGCCACCTACACTTGACGCGCCTCAGTTCTCTTTGCTGGACATACCATGTTCTGACGTCATCAGTGAAGCGACTTTGTTGTGTAAACAAGAGGAAAGCAAAGAGAAAGAAGTCTGATACGGTGGCACTCCCTGCAATCCTCACACTTGGGGTGGGGTGGGGTACAGAAGGTAAAGGTTGCTTTTAGTTACTTGAGACTAGCCTGGGCTATGTGAGCAAAAGCCAAAACCACCAATGAAAACTAGGTTACCAATAGGCTTACCCTTAAGTGTATGCTTATATTTTAAAATAAACTGGCCCCCCATTCATCTCAGACTGAAATGCATGGAGAGCTGTTGAAAGAGAAAACACCATCACAACTCCACTCCAGGTGGATTCTCCACACGTTCTCACTGACTTGGTAGAATTTTCAACCTAACACTTGCATTCAGAGGCTCAAGAACTTCAATGAATTCTTTTTTTTTGGTTTTATAAGACAGGGTTTCTCTGTATTGTTTCGGAGGCTGTCCGTCCAGCCTGGCCTTGAACTCACAGAGATCCACCTGCCTCTGCCTCCAGAGTACTGGGATTAAAGGTGTGCACCACCACCCAGCTAACTTCAGTGAATTCTTAAACTGAAGAATCATCTATGGCTGTTATACTCCTCCCTGAAGCTCATGGTCAAGTCCAGACTTAGCACATGAAGGAAAAGGTTCATGGCCAAAGCCATTATATGCAGTTTTTATGTGTGCTCTTTTCATGTTTTTATTCATATTCTATTTATGAGGGGTTGTGTCAGCTTTTTACAGATAGAATTATATGTTGCAAATTAGTTTGAGGAGATAATTTATGCAGAAAAGCTGAGTCAATTTACATGCATCTATATTACCCAGAATAACAAAAGAAGACAGACTATTTCAAGCATTCAAGAGTTGATATCTAATATTGCTAGAATATTTCCCCCAAGTTTTGTAAATGGGAAAAGTGGGAATTATGAAAATATACTATTGCCTGCTTGAAAAACATACCTAAAGTATTTAATAGCTGACATGTATGTTAATTTTTGCCTCTCAACTATATTATAAGCTCTAAGGGCAGAGTACATGCTGTGTCTTTATTTGTTCTGTAAGTAAGTCTCCTGCACTTTCATGATAGCTCTACCTTGCTGTTCCGCACCATGCATCAGGTATACACGTGATTAGGTTTGAATAATTACCTCCAGTGTAACTTGGAACTCTTGGACCAGTCATCTCAGTGAAATGCCATCAGTTCTGTGTGTGTTATAAGGCCTGTCCATTTCCTTAACTAATTGATGAGGCCCCAGTGAATTGAGCGCAGGCTGTTGGAGCAAGGAAATAAAAATGATTCAGCAAGCCAGCAGGACTTAGGAGATGAAGACTAGAATACCCAAAGGCCATCTCAACACTAGTGCTAAGGTCGTTTTATCTTGAAGAACTCAAGAGCTGGTGATCAGTTCATTTGCAGCTGTCTTGAAGGAAGAACACTGGGACGAGGGGAGCTTTGGATAAACCAAGTCACATTTTTTTCTCACTGTCACTATTCCACACCATTGCTTTAGGATAAGAGATAAGGAATTGTCCCAGCCTGCGGGGTCAGTCGGTGGGGACCCTAAGGGAGGGAGTGAGAATGGGGGAACAAGAGACACCAGAGACGGAGACAAGACAGGATTCTGATCAAGTCTCGTTTATTGAAAGTACCAACAGGGCTTAAGTAAGGCAGGTAGCAGAAGGGCGGGGGAGCAGAAGTGTTCCAAGGACACAAGTCTGCAGCTGGGGGAGTCTGGACTGCAGGCCAGGTGGCAGAAGGGTGGGAGAGCCTGGACCGAAGGCCTTGAAAGTATGCTGGACAGGAAGATAAGCAGACACAGAGACATAGAAACGTAACTAAGTGTTAGTCTCTAAGAATATAGTAGGAATATTAAGATGGCCTCTATTATGCTATCCTTACTTAGGGCCCTCCACGAGGAATGGTGGCTGCTCTGACACTTGCAGCCGGAGGTGGTTAAAGAGAGGTGATTGTAAAATGGAGGATGCTGGCCAAGGCTGTGCATACTATAATAGTAATGACACGCTCCATTTCCCTCCTCTGTCACTGTCACTTGGACCTTATGATGCTGGGTTTCAGCTTCCTTTAAAGCTCATTTAAGTTCATTTCTGTTAGGATTAGCTGGAAATTCATAATGCGTCACAGAGGTGATCAGGAACTGTGTGACATGTTTCCATTCCTTCCCAACAAAAGCAGCCCTCACCCATCTAGCAAACACTCTACATGGGGTTTAAACTATGGGCAAGGTTTAAAATTCCTTCGGTATTCTCTTGCTGTTGAGAGCAAAGCCAAAATTCCTTCTTTGGAGTCCAGCCTGAGAATGATTGCCTTGGGGACAGCTCTTTCTGTAGTGATGTAATGAATGCATTTATAAAAGCCTTCCCATAGGACCTGGAAAGAGGAGGTGGGAGAATTACCTCCTTGTAGCATCAGCAAGGAGGGAAGGGTAAATTACCATGCTTTCTTAAATATTTGACCTCTTTCTCATTGGTGGTCTAGGAATCCGATGACCCTGTTGAAACGGGCAAGCTGTTGGGTACAAATGTTACTGATGTGTGGCGGCTTCCTGGTTTCACTCTGGCCAGTGTGAGGAAGAATAGGCCTCAAGAAGTGCTTGGGGTGACAGAGTCTCCTTTACTGCAAGTTGTTACTTTTTTCTTTTGGGGTCTCCCAGTGTCACCCAGGCTGGTCTTGCCTCTGAGAACCTCAAAGAGATCCAATGAATCCTCCTCAAGTCTGTCTTTGGGGTCCTAACATGAGAGTGTATTTGAATACAAGGCAAGGGATGTCCACAGCTAAGCAGTTTGCCCAGGGTGTGGTCGCCTGCTCACTGTTGTGTTAGCACCAAGTCTGTCCTGCAGAGTCACCTTGCAAGTTGTTAATGGTTTTCTCTCTTCCTGTGGCTTCAGCTGTTTCTTGTTCCAGCAGAATATTCCTGAGAAACTTTAATGTTTTTTGTTCGTGATAGGGTTTCTCTGTGTAACCTCTTGAAGGTCCATTCTTTTAATAGTCTGATGTACAAAGAGGGAAGTATAAGTATCCCTTTAGAATGTATTTGTTCTTTCCAGATAGGCCAGTGACATGTCTTTTATGCCTTTTATTTCTTTTCTTTTCTTTTTTTTGGTTTTTTACGAAACAGGGTTTCTCTGTATTGTTTTGGAGGCTGTCGGTCCAGCCCGGCCTCGAACTCACAGAGATCCGCCTGCCTCTGCCTCCCAAGTGCTGGGATTAAAGGCATGCGCCACCACTGCCCGGCTTTATTTCTTTTCTTAAATAATTATTTTATTTGTTTTTTTGAGAATTTCATACATTATATTTTAATTGTATCTTTTCCCTCCTCCAACTCCTTCCAGATCCTCCCCTATCTCCCTACCCACCCAACTCCATGTTCTTTCCCTCTCTCAAAACAAACAAACATAAAGGCAAACAAACCCAAAACCAGCAATGAAAAACAATGGAGTCAGCGTGCAAATGAACTTTGGAAGCCCATTCCACATGGAGGGATGCTTTCTCAGCCTGGACACATGGGGAAGGGCCTAGGTCCTGCCCTGGATGAAATGACAGACTCTGGAGATGCCCCCAAGGAGGGCCTCACCCTCCCTGGGGAAAGATGTGGGAATTGGGCTGGGGGTGGGGGGGTCTGGTGGAAGGACAAGGGAGGAGGGGTGGGAGAGGGAGCTGGGATTGACATTTGAAGCATGCATGTTTCTAATTTAAATAAAAACATATATTGAGAAAAAAGAAAAGCTGGCTAGAAATAAACCAAGCTAAGGCTGGGCATTAACACACAAGAGCAAGCTTCTATGTATAATGTATTTGGGAACTGGGTGGAGTTCCCCCAGAAGAATAAAGAGTAAACACAACCAACTAAACTTTGGCACCTGACACAGGGCTCTCAAATTTCCATAGGGCCTAAAATAAAATAAAATACAGAAAAACAACCCGAGGAGGCCAGTTTGTCGTATGCTACCCTGTGCATGGAGCCTGCGTGGAGTATAGTCGCTATGTCTAGTGTTACTCCATCCAAGAAAACGGATCGTCTTTTCACGCTCGTTCGCTCACAACAGGAAAGACACACATATTAACTCACAAGGGCTGACAATAGGCACATGAGCTGCACAGCCCAGACCACACAGAATCCCAGCACACAATGGAAAAGTGGGCACAAAGGCCAACCCCTCACACAGAAGCTATTCATAACTGATGGCTTCTGGGAAAAGAAAAAGAGAGAAAGTGACATTGCGACGTTAGTGTGGGAGTTGGTGTGATCTTCCCGCTCTTTTAGAGGACCTAGGGGCTGTCGGGGTTTCCTGGGCTATACTTTGAGAACTGGTATTTGTGTTAGTTACTTTCCCGTTGCTCTGACAGGATACCTGACAAAAAGCGCTGGTTGAATTCTCCTGGAATGCTGACCATTCACTCCTGACACTCATCTCTTGTCAATAGTCTGGGTTTATATCGAGGCCAAATAACTCCGATTGGGAAGGATTTGGGTGGTATAACGCAGCACATTGCTGAGTAGTCGCCACTGGTTCCGCAAAGAAAAACAGAGATCCTGAGGCCTCTTGAAGATCCCTCAATGGCGGAGACTGTTCTCATGATGTAACTGAAGGAACCATGCACAAAACCCACTCCCTTCTGAGGGATGGTTGTGACTAGTCTGTTAGCTGCTTCTTTAGGCTGGTTGACAACATGACAGTTCTGAGACAACATGACTGAGCCCGGAAGGACCTAGGGGACCAACCCTCCTCAGGTGATGGCTTCTGACCCGGAAGGGCTTGAGAAAAGCCAGATTTCTGTTCTCTCAACATTTATACGTGTCTATTTAATATTTATGCCAGTCTCTCCTACCAGGTGGGTTCCCGAGACTGACCACTGGTTTAGTGGCAAGTGTCTACCTGCTGAACCATCTGGCCTCAAAATCCATATTTCTGAATCAGAAGAGTTGGGTTGCACTGAAGAATTTGCATTGCTAGTAAGTTCCTGATAGCCAGTCTAGGGAGAACAGCTCTAAGGCCTGACCTACAGGCTTTTCAAAAGAAAGGAATTAGGTGTACACCTGTCATTTGTAATACAGCGGGGAAACACTTTAATTAGATGAAATTTCAACATAAAGAATAGATCCCAGGGTGTGAAGCAAATGCCAGGCATTCTAGGTGAAATCCCAATGTGTCACATGCCTTGAACAGCGCCTGGGCTTTATTTGCTTGCTAAACTGTTTTTGCGAGTTAGTAAGCAGACAGCTGTCCTACACACCTCTCTTATGCAATCAAGCCTGAGTCTCTGTGTTATCTGGAAGAGGTTGTTTTCTTTCTTTTATGTATGTGTGTGTGGTGTACACGGCATGGGTACCAGTGCCCACGCAGGTACACATGGAGGCCAGAGGCTGACATCAGGATGTCTTCCTCAGCCACTTCTATTCTTTGAGACAAGATATGCTCCCTGAACCTGGCTGGCCAGTGAGCCCCAGGAATCTGCCTATTGCTAACCCCTCTGCACTGATGTCATCACGGCCAGGATTTTAGGTAGGTGCTGTAGATCTGAACTCAGGCCTTCAATTGTATGCAGCAGATATTTACACAGTCAATCACTTCCCTGTCCCCCCAAAAGGATTTTGAAGGTACAATTAAGTTTCTAAATCAAGTGCTTTGTAGCACTATGTGGGTGAGCTTGTTTTATCCATGTGTATCTTTAAAGGGGCATGGACCCTCCACAACAGAACCAAATCAGCATGAGGGGAATTCTCACTTCTAGCTTCGAAGACGGAGGGGAGGAAATGCCCATGGTCTTTAGGAGAGGAGAGCAGCACTGGCTGACAGACTAAGTGGGTCCTCCGTCCCATAACATCAAGGTACTTCTGAATTCTGTCTTAGCCACTTGAGCATCACTGAATTCTGTCTTAGCCACTTGAGCGTCAGGGTGATTGCAGCCAGTGACACAATGATGTTAGCACTTACTGCACAGTGAACTGGCAGCTTGCTGTCTCATGCCTGCCTTCTGATCTCCCCAACTCTGACAATACAGAAATTTGATGCTTCTAACTCTGCCTCCGTTACAGCAGCCATAGAACACGACGTCACAAAGGATCAGCTACTGTTTGTTAAATATTTATTTATTGATGTTAAGTCCACATTACAACGGCACAACAATCCAAAGTATGGTTCTACTTTGTTTTTTTTGTGTGTGTTTTTTCATAAATACAACATAAAAGGTGGCAAAAGAATGCTAGTTAACCCCAAGCCCAGCAAATTAGCAAAAAAAAAAAAGTCACATTCAGAAAAATTTGGCAAGTATGATATAATAATATAGGTCACAATTCTATGACAGAGATAGGTCTAGAAGACCCTGCATGGTTACTTAAATCCCCCATTAGCAATGTGTATGTGGTCAAAGAGTTTTGTACCACGCTGAATAGAACATCTGCCACCCAGTGCTCAAGCCTGCTAAAACTTGGTTGGTTGGTGTTCTTACAAAAGTAGAAAGCTGTACATGTGAAGCAGTAATACAAAATATATGGGGTGGTTACAGATACAAAATTGTTTTAAAAAGTACTATGTATGAATTGAGTAACTGAGCTAAGAAAGTTGAACACTTTTATAAATAATGAATGATAGATATGGTTTGCATGAGGAACACAGTGTTTTCTTTTCATAGCAGAGTACCATTAAAGCCTCACGTCTTACGCCATCAGGCCAGATGATTTTCTCTCATTATAAAAGGAAAATATTGGTTCCGACTTAAAGTCATCAAGTCTGGTCAGAATCAACTGTGTTTAGCTGATGCAGAATCGTGCATTCAAAAAGCGGTCCTTGCAGTTTGGCCGTTTAGGTGCTCAGAGCCTGGCCCTTCTAAGGCATCGGGGAAGTGAAGGGAACTAGAAATTTCCATTCACCACCTCTTAGTGCCAACGGAAAAGAAATTCATTGTAGCACAAGCTTGTTTTTGTCGCTCAAGTCTCCACTTCCCTCAGGCAAACTCGACCCTATCCGCTACTTCTCACTCAAGCCCCCCGGAATCTTAACCCATGTCCAACTTACTCTACACACTAACATCATTAACTACTACACACTTCAGCTACATGGAAGTCTCCTCCACGCATGTGCGCCAGACTTCCAGATGACCCTCTAGAGTCCTTGACTGGTAAACGGCAGTGTTTCTGCATCTATGTTTTTAAGGTTTAGAAGAAAACCAAAGAAGAGCCTGGCCTCACTGCCTGGTGCTTTCATCTAAATGGATATGAGATCCCTGTGTGGGTAGCAAGTCCCTCCTTCATTCTTTCCATGCCTTCCAAACCTGTCTCCTCCAAACACTACATGCCTTGGTCATTCGGGTGGTTCGGATGCCTCTTGTGGAATGGACAGTAAAACATATCGGCTTTCTACAGAACACTGTTCGTTGTGTAAGCTTAAATTAGCCTTTTAGTTCCTATGGATTGTAAGAAAGCTTCATACTGAAGTAGCATAAAAAGAAAACCCCTGATACAGATGACATTTAAGGCAAGAAATTCCTTTCTTCTGATTTAACTCGAGCGGTTTGCAAAGACAAGGCATTCCCTGGCTTTCCTCATCGTTCTCTTTCCTGCCCTCCCATATTGCACTTGGTTTACTGTAGCCGTCTGTAGACACTGCACTTTAGAGACGCTGTTGAGTCTGTCAAACATTTCCCACTGCTGCACTCCAGCACCCATAGCTTGTGTCTGAAGGCACTTGTGGATGACTTAAACCACGGTTATCTCTGAACAGCTGATTTCTTTTGGCGTTTCCGACCATTTTACTTACAACAGCTCCAAAACTTTTAACCTGGACAACAAATGCGAATTTTCTGTGCAATGTGTACATTTCTATAAGCATCACCTACTTAGATTCTCTATCAAGTAAGAAAAATATGAATTTGGTGTTGTTCTTTTTTTTTTCAATTTCTTAAAGTCAAAAGTATACTTCTGCCTTTTATATAAAGTGACAGAGGAGGGCGTTGGTCAAAGCAATGGCGGTCAGTTTTCAGCTTCAACAGGGGCGCTGATCACAGATCGTCACTTTCTACCAAGCCGCTGTTTAGAGTCAGGTGAGCTGGGCTTGCTTCAGGTTGGAAAGCGGCTTTGATGTCTAGTCCCTGGTCCGAAAGGGCTGCGTAGCGACTGGCCGAGGGCCGTACTTTTTTTGGCTTGGTGGTCGGTGGCTGCTGATGCCACTGGGCTACAAAGAAAGAATAAATGAAGATTTTTAGCAAAGATATGCTTGGGACTCCTGTAGATATTTAAGTAAATACAGAATGGCTTTTGGGCAGAGCCTGGTGGCTTACACCTGTAATCTCTGCACTTGGGAGGCTGAGGCAGGGGGATTGTTGCAAGTTTGAGGTCAGCCTGGGTTTAAGAGCAACCACCTGTATCTAAAAACAAAAAGCATACTCACAAAATGTATACATATACACAATATATATGTACACACACATGCACACACATATATATATAGGTGCATACATATCCTGTTTAAAAATATTTTATTTTTTATATATGTGTTTTGCCTTCTTGTATACACATGCGCTGAGTATGTCCATGTGCCTGGGCATGTGTAAGTGTGTTGTCTGTGTGTTTGCATGTGCACTGACCAGATACCTGGTGCCTAGGAAGCCAGGAAGTACCAGATTGCCCTGGTCCTGGACAGCTGTGAATGGCTATGTGGATGCTGGGAACCAAACCCGGGACCTCTCCTAGAACAGGAAGTGCTCTTAACTCCCCATCTATCTTTCCAGTCCCCACATATATACTGTTTGTGGAAGAATGAACACAGCCACGGCAGAGGTGGAGCTAACTTGGAGGTTCTTCGGTGTTCTACTTACAAGAATCACAAGCCACCGTCTGCTTGTGGTCATGGGACTGTAAAGTCCCGCAACATAGGAAGTTATTGTTCCTTTACCAACTGCAGTGCTGGAAAAATCTCAACAGTTGGTAAGCTTCCTATATCTGACCCATCTTTCTCTCTTTCCTTTAATGATAATTATAGTTAGGAATTCTAGATAGACGTTTAACATTAATAAACTGAAAAGAATCAGGCATTTGGGAAGGTTTCAAGGGACTTTACTTTCTTAAGCAGAAATAAAATATGGAATTTATTTTCTATTTTCTTATATCAACCGAACCTATAACACCGTTATACTAGCCTTTAAATTGAGCTGGTAGTTTTTAAAATTTAGGATACATGTATACAGACAGACAGACAGACACACACACACACACACACACACTCAAGAATCCCCTGCTAAGCTGCTTAAGATATATTAATGAGAAAGCACTTTGCAGTGTAAGTACACACTCCACAATCAAGGTACACACGTTAAGACTGCAGCAGGACGCCACGAGAGGATTATGGTTCAGGAAGAGATGTTAAGAGACAGTCACTTGCAGAATATCGGGATAAGAAAACGTGAAAAATGCGTATGCCTTTGTCTACTGCTAACCCCCACCCATGGATACCCAAATGAGAAAAGCCGCAGCTGACTAGCCAGCCCGAGAAATCAACATGCACATCTTGCTAATCGTTCAAAGACCCTCGTGATACTTGGGTGTTTGTTCTCCAGGAGGGGTCTCACTATTAATGTCGGGAAACTATAAACAGAAAGAGAAAGAGTAAAATGAATTTCTTTTCAGCAGATAAAACGCTGGAGTATAAATTTAGAACGTAAATCTTGGAGTAATGTGATACGTCTTTCTCGTATCTAGTTCCTAATCATCCATCGTGGCCAACGCAGGGAGATGAAGCAAGGTAGCACTCACTGTAGACATCCAGCCTGGCAGTACAGGACACGATGCCTGCTTCGTTCTTGGCTGACACAGTGTACCACCCGGCGTCTTCTTTTGTGGCTCCCTGAATGAGCAGGCAGATGTAGCCGTGATTATCCTGGTGCATGCTGCAGAAGAAGATAAAGTCATTAGCGCTCCACATTAAAAGAAAGTGGCTTTGGGTGTGAAACACCATTTTTAATCAGGTCATTAGAAACAGAGCTGTGTTAGTAGCAGACAATAGATAGGACCATAGTCATTCTGGCGAGGCGGGCGGCTAGCCCCATTGAGTTAATGGGAGAGTGGAGTAGACCCCCAGAGGGTGAATAAACCTGTCAACTATTCCTAGAGGAAGACCCGCCTGTACAAAACCACCGGCGAGGCTGCTGCCGCTGGAGCAAATGAATCCCATTGATACTTTTTGTCATGCATATTTCAAAAAAATGCAATTACGTTAAGTCAGAATGTGCTCGCCACATACGCACGTTGTGACCTTCCAAAAGCTTGAACCTCCGTTTGGACGGAGGGTGGCTTTTGTCCCTCATGTCCATGATAGTATGGCCTTTGCACACAGCAAATTTGCATGCAGTAGCCGACATATCTTTTGTCTAGCATTAGGGCCAGACAAGTTAGGGGGTAGATGACGCCACTGTGCATCTTACCTTACTCGCTCAGTGCTGTGAGTGAGCGATTCATTTTCTTTCTTCCAAAATATCTGAGGCGGTGGAACTCCCGACACTCGGCATTCCAGCCTCACCGGGTACCCATCTGCTACCCCTGTGTTTTGCAGCTTCTCAACAAACACGGGGGCCTTGTGTGCTTCTTTAGCTAAGGAAACACGAGGTGAATTCTCTGTTAGTGGCCTACAAAAGGGTCACTGCCAGGAACTTGGAGGCTCTCGAAAGATGGAGCAGCTCTTCTATGATACAATTTTACTTCACCTGGTAGAAGTTAGCGCCTCCCCCTCCCCCAGCAAAGGTCGGTACGCTTTGTTCCACTCACTATTCCCTCGATTAGTTCAAGACTGACAGGCCCACACAGTACTCCGACACCTGCACCTCACAATGCCTGCCTGAGGAGCTGCAGAGATCCAGAGTCATCGCAGGCCACTGTGTGAGCTTTGCCTAAGTCAACATGAGCTCACGGCCCTTACCTACTGGTGCCATCTAGTGGTGATAAGTAAGTACACAGGCTGAGGCGTCACTGGCCACCACCTGAGACGTTTGCTTTGAAGATTTAAGATTTGGAACTCATGATGCAAGGAGACATACTCCAGGATTTAAAGGGTGGGGAAAATACAAGCAGGAAAGGTATGTTTATCAACATCAGGCATTTTTTAATGGCTGTCTATAAACGAAGGATGTACAGCCCACAAATTACAACTCTATTTTTCTGTAGGGAGCTACAAAGAAGACAACTTTATGATTATCTGATAGGATTTTATTACTTAGTCTTTTAAAAGTCAGGACTTGCTGGACAGTGGTGGCGCACACCTTTAATCCCAGCACTCGGGAGGCAGAGGCCGGTGGATCTTTGTGAGTTTGAGACCAGCCTGGCCTACAGAGTTCTAGGACAGCAGTGCTGTTACAAACAGAAACCTTGTCTGGAAAACAAAACAAAACGGAACAAAAAAGGATGTATCGTTAATAATATTCTGTACATTATAAGCCAGTGGGAAACTGATTTCTTGGGCCACTGGTGGAAATGATTTCAGAGAAAGAATAGGTTTAATTTCACTGGAGCTCCCAACAATGAGTTTACAGTTACGTATCTTCCTGTACACTAACACGAATCAAGGTCTTTGCCATCGGATGCTAGCTTGTGTCTTCCTAGCTGTGTCACCGGGAAGGCAGACCACAGATGGTTCAGCATCTCAACTGGTGGGGACCATAATGGGTCATAGCACTTTTAAGGATTAAACTGGAAAAATGCTTCCGAAGTCTCTCCCAGGCAGCGCCGTGCTGTGTGCTCCAAACAACACACGCTGTCGCTGGTGAGCAGTTGGGATACTAAGGCTGCCTTTAAACACAGCTAGCAACACACAAACCAACGTCTGATGGTGAAGACCTTGATCCATGATAGTGTGCATGGCCCTTCTCTGACATGAGTGCTGAGACATGCCCAGATGTCTGTTTCTGAAACCCCCAAGTCTGATGGACAAAGAAGGCCAATGGGTAAATTTAACAGAAAAACAACCAGGTTAACTTGAGTTTAGAGAAATAAATGAAAGTCACCCTTCCATACGGGCAGAGAGAATACTTTGCACAACATTTAAAAGCCTGGTTAAAATGACAACATTGCCCATGTATTTACCAGATTTTTGTGGAAAAAAAGACCTGTTGGTCCTTATAGCCTGGATTTTATAGCCCTCCCTGGTTTTATTTTATTGAAGAAGCTGAGTGCCTCAGAGTTTTTACAAGAGACTATCTGGAGTCTAATCCTAGCTCACTAAGGGGGACTCCAGGAAGCCATAATTTTCTTACAGGGTTGATGCCAGGCCTAGCTAAGATAACATATATGAAGACATTGTCAGTCGAGCTTTACGGAATTCATTTTGGCAAGCTTCGTGATAGCAAGAGTCAGGCCATCAAAATCCCACTTCTGCCTTACTCCTGAGGGTGGTGTGAACCTTTCCATCAGGGTTTCTCAAAGCCTAACTTCCTGTAACAACACTTAAATTAACTATAGCATTGCTTAGAAAGCAAACTTGTTTAATTCAACACTGCATTGAGTGTGGATGACAACATTGCTTAAGGTTTTTGAGTTTTGAGGTACGGTTCTTTGGACTCTCCATATAAATTTCCGGAAGTTAGTCAGTCTGTCACTCATTCCTTTCCTGTGGAACACTAGGCTTATCACAGCCACGAGAAAGTAAGCTGCCCAACTCTTCTTCCATTCTTTACCGGGTTATGGGAGAAAGAAAAGAGAAATAATAATGGCTATGCTGAAGTAAGAAAAAAATGGATCCTTCCTGTTGCTAAGCCTTATGACATGCTACCATTGTGTTTAGTGATACAATCTGTTTGGTCAGCATTTTGACTTATTTTCTGCACTAGCTAATGACGGAGAGTTAGTTTTTGTGTCATTTGACTTGTCCTGGCCAGGAGAAAGGAGTCACAGGCCACCTACCAGCAACCACAAGCTCCAGGTTAAAAGAGTTCTGCCCTGCTCTGTTGGTAGCGATGCACGTGTAGATGCCGGCATCCCGGGACGTGACTGGCTCTATAATGAGGGAGTGGACTCCATTCTCACGGACCAACATCTTGTGAGCACTGTCAGGGCGTATGGGCTTCCCATCTAGCTGCCAGCTGAGATCCGGGGTTGGTAACCCACTGACCTAAACCAGGAAGGAAAAACACGTAAATTTCCCTAATATTACAGTGACCAAATCACCAAGAGTTATGGAGCCAGCATCTATTTCTCTAGAGTTTCGAAACTGCTGTAGGGTGTGTTAAAAACAGTCTTGTTGGATTCTAAATGTAAAGTTCCAGAATCCTGTATGTCTGTCACATCTTCCCCAGGGAACACTTGGTAGCAAACAATGGCTTTTTGGATGGTTTTCTCATGTTACTGCTTTGTATTTTAAAACCTTCCCATGGTTTCCATAAACACACAACTAGATATTTCTTATAGAACAACCCAGAGGTAAGTCAAACAGGGATTAAAACATATTTCTGTCATCGTCTTACCTCACCCAGGACTATAAAAATTCCCAGGTGATGTCAGCTTTGGGCTCTGAGCTCTTTGGAAACAGAAGATGTGCAACCATTATAGCAATAACACTCAGCTCTAAAACTTCCCAGCAAGGAGTGGCCATCACCATGGAGATGTTAGTTAATGCGTCGATTAGTACACAGACCTATTGTCATTTTATAATCCTTGGAACTCAATAACAAGAGCAATGTGAAATTGCCCAGAAAGTCATAAACAAATGAGCATCACAATGGAAATACCCTAAAATCTTAAGACCATGGCAGTTGTGCGACCGGGGATCACATAACAGGTTGCAGTGTGAAAGGGGGCGGCCATCTGCCAGCTTTTTACGGCGTTGTGTAGAAGAGCATTAAGGAAGACCTTCAGAAATCCCTCCTTCCAACTTTACTAATGGGGAATTATGTATTCCGACCCCCCCACCAAGGAGACCACTATTGGATTATAAAACAATTCCTTTGAAGCATTAGCTTTGTCCAAATCTGACAGAGAACTCATGCACTCCAATCCTGCCCCACGGTACGGATTCATTCCCACTATGCACGAAGTATCTCCTATGCGTGTACTCAAAGTCTGGAGAACGTAAGGGGAAACGTGCGGGTAAATCCCCGGTTAAGAGGGTGGGATTTCCGAAAGAGCGTAGTTAGGAAGTGGTTTGGGGCAGCATGCTGTCTGCCTATCCCTTGCCATCCCCAGCTCTCCATGGGTACCCTCTCCACGTGGGGAAGACACTACAATAACAGGGAAATAAAGCAGTGGATATTCCCAACTGGGCTCCAGGTCTCGGGGAGTTTATAACTTGTTCCCACTTTTCTGGGCTTCATAACGGACAAGCAGGATTGTCTACTGGCAGGAAGTCACCGATTAGATTCTTTCAAAACAATTTACAGAGGAGCCGGTCCCCTGGGTGGTGTGTTCATGTGGATGCATATGCACATGTCGGTGGAGGTCAGAGGTCAGCGTCAGCCTATTGTTCTCCACCTCATTTTGAGGTAGGGTGTCTTACTGAACTCAGAGTCCATTGGCTGGCTAGAGCCGTAAGCGTCCCCTGTGTCTATTACTCCACCAGCAGTGAGTCACGGGCACCAGCTTTGTATGTGGCATTGGAGAGATCTGAACTCAAGTCCTCATACATGAGGAGCAGACACTATTCAAGCTGAGCTATCTTTCCAGGCTCCTCATGTATGAACCTCAAAAACTTTATTATTTATTTATTATATAACTCTGACTTCCCTGGAACTCATGTAGACCAGGCTGGCCTCAAACTCACAGAGATTCACCTGCCTCTGCCTCCTGAGTGTTGGGATTAAAGGCTTTGTGACTCCATGCCTGTCCCCCTGAATATGTTAATTCTTGATTAAAAATGAAGTAATGCTTTGAAATTCACTCATGTTTTATAATGTAAGATGCACTACATTAGAAAACAAATTATTTTAAATAATATATTTATTCTTTCCTGTATGTTGTAAGAACCCCCCCCCCACGCATACACACACCAAAAAAGTGATCAAGTAAATTAGATTACTTCACAGCAATTGCTAGGTCTAAGAATGAGGGACAAACAAGATCCTCCCATCCCTACCGAAGGAGTGTCTTGTCGGCATTAGCAAAAACCCTCTCCAACTCACTGTCTTTCACTGATGAAGGAATCATAATTTCTACTCTTGTATCTTCAGGAGTGATGATTTTTGAAACTAATTAAGGCCACAGTTGTGGCCTAATTTTAGAATACCAAAATGCATTGTTCCTTGCCTTACACTAGCTGTGGCTCATGTATATCCAGGAAACTTATTTTTAACAGCAATGTTCTCAAACCTCTCTACCAAACTCTCGTTATTATTCATGTTCTGCAATTCCAGTGAGAACCAGCAGATGGAGCCCAAATAATTTTAAAAAGCTATCCACATTTACCGGCTAAAAAAGGTTAAGACAGTACCACAAGTGACAGGTGCAATGGGGGGAGCTTGCAGGGTAGGTGATGTAGGGTAGGAATGGGGAGGCAAGGTAGGCGAGGCGAGGAGCCGGGGACTAAAAACAAGTGCAAACTAAGTATGTGTGAAATGCCTTAAGGAAGCTTGTTAGCACGTAAGCTAATTTAAAATAAACTTCACCAATAAAAGCTACTATAAAAAAGGCAAAGGAGGGATTAAAAAAAGCAAGCAACTCCACAGCACAGAGCAAAATCATGAAGATCACTGGGTGCTTGGCATGCAGGGCAGACTCATTGCTCCAAAATGCGGGTGGGGAGGGGGCAGAGGGAGTAAGACCTAGTGATTTGCTGGAGGTTGGTACATGGACTTCAGAGAAAGGAACATGCCTAATGAAAGCTGGGAAAGAAAATCGTAATGATAACTGTATATAACCACAGAGTCCGTTTCTCTCGAGCGGGAGTCGTCTTGGACCCGCCAGTAAACCCGGAAGTGAATGCGGCAGGCGCGGACACACTTACTTTGCAGTCCATCCTGCAGAGTTTGCCTTCCTGGACAGTCAGGTCCCCAGGGGCCTGCAGGAAGTGAGGCCTGAAGAATCGCTCCTGAATGGGCTCGTTTTCATCTCCGCTGTCCCTTGATCGAGAGCGAGGCCTGGAGACAAGAGACGAGATAGGCGGATAAACAGAACCTTCGCGGGGAGTTATCTCCAGGAGAGACAAGTTCCCTGTCTGAGCGCACCCCCTTACACACACAAAAATGCCACAAGCCAACCTTGTTTCATTTGGAAGTTTATGATTGATTTAGTAGTCTCCAATCAGCAGACTATTAAATACAAATCGGAAAAGAGAAATGGAGAACGGGGTTACTGTGTTTGAGAATATTTTTTTCGTGATCAGACAGTTTTAAAGCTTTGCTAGAATTTTTCTTTTGTTGTTTGCTTGCTTGTTTTTTGTTTTTGTTTATTTTTTGAGCCAGGGTTTCACTGTGTGGTACTGGCTGTCCTGGAACTCACTCTATAGAGTGACCAGGCTGGCCTCGAACTCAGAGACCCACCTGCCCCTGCCTCCTGAGTGCTGGGATTAAAGGTGCCTGGCTTTGTATTGGAAGCAGCAGCTTTTCTTCTTCTTCCTACCCAAATCTTCCCCAATAGAAATGAATATTAAGTTTTCATTATGACTTTATTTTTGTAGTTAATTACAATTTCTTACTTTATAAAAATATAATGTATTTCTCATCAAAATTCTTCTTCATGATCCTTGGGGAAACAAATCACATTTTTTGGCATGTTTAATTTTTTATTAGTTTGTCCAGTTGCCTAAAGGCCTTATTTTCCGCTTTAAACAAGGGTCGTGCCAACCTCTCAAACTTTGTATGCCTTCCTGCTTATGTTACCAGAGCAATAGAACCGACAGTAAGGGCACAGGAGACCTGAGGAACCAAGCAAGACATTAAATGCAATTTGTCAGAAATCATTAGGAAGATTAAGTTTATAAAAGGAGGGCTGGCACTGTAGCTCAGAGGAAGAGCGCTGGCCTCAGATGCATAAGGCCCTAGGTTTAATCCTCAGTGCTGAAGAGAGAGAGAGGAAAAAGAGCCCACTTAACTAGAAAGAGAAAGACACGGAGTGACGGGTGTAATATTAATGTGTTTACAGTCACAGGCAGAGGTCTGCGCTCCTGGGAGCTGGTGCAGCCATGGGGAATGCAGAGCAGTGTCTGCGCATGCTCAGCCCCTGCCAGCAGCAAAGGTTCTGTGGTACAGTCCCTGGATGATACAGGCACCACTTGTCTGACACCTACCTACTTTTCCTGCTTATCTCTCCAACAAAGGCATCTGCATATGGCCCTATTGACAGTCACGGTTATGTTAGGTAGCTGTGTGTAATATAGCTAAACATGATATGCTGGCTGCCTTACCATATTTGTTTTAAAATTCAAATATATTATTAAGAAATGGTATCCATCACTGCTTCAGGTCTGGCTTAGGCAGGTGCAGAAATTTGCTAGATACTGGAATTGCATGACGAGTCTTACAACTAGGATTTATGGTCTCACTGCGATATGTTTTGAGCTGAGTGATTTAAAATGTGCACTTACCAAATTGGCTAATTTTAAGAATAGTGGTAGCAGCCCGCACACAACTGTTGGTTTAGACCTGTTTCTGAGCATCTGTGTTCCATTTGCTAGTATTTTCATGTTCGTGTGTCATATAAAAGTCCTGAATCGTGATTTTCACCTGTTTATAAATTATGTCCTATTTAGCAGACTGATGATCATACATGTGACTAGTCTGGGCACACTGGCGAGTGTTTGCTACCCCCCATTTCTCCCCTCTCCCATTTCTAAACTGCAAAGGGGCGTGATAAAGTCACCACACACCTCGAGTCTGTGTTCACTGCCTCGCTGACTGTGGTAGCAACGGGCTTATAGCAATAAATGAAGGAGAAGGAACACCCAGGACACCGGGGAAGGAGCTTCAGAAATACCTTCTGGCATGAGGATGGCCCGAGGGAGAGCGGGGACTGCGACCTCTTTGGTTGACAGCCTGTACCATTAGCCGTCCTGTACAACTGACGCGGCCCTGTTGGAGACAGCAGGAGAAGACATGATGTGCTGTGCAAACCCATTAGCCATCACGCCCTGGTAAGGCTTGTACCTTATTCTCTCTGACACATTATTCCTCAGTCATGTACCACTAGTAGCCAAACCAAAGCATCAGGAAAACAATGTGCTGAAAGAATTCAGGTGACAAGAAGAGCCTGTTTTATCTAGGATAGCGTTCAAAATGACACCCCTCATTAATCTGCAAAATCAATAACGTCTCCCTAACACACGAAAGCTGAGTCATAAAATATGACGGGATGATATCAGATCATCTCAGTAATTCGTTCATTAGCAGTCAGTGTTATTGCTTTGTCCAAGCCATGTACTAAGCGATGCCTGCACGATAAAAATGAGCATCCTCTAAGAAGTGGGCATAGGACAAGGTGAGCGTCGTGAGCGTCATGATCTTATGACATTGTGGTCTCTGAAATAAACACGTGTGCAATTTAAAAGCCAGGAATGACTGGATACCCAGAACATGGCTCACAAGATAAAGGCCTACCTAATGGAAAGTTGTATTTGTCACTTAAGGTGGCCAACTGTAGACTTGGTAAGTTGTAAGTAGACACATGTGATACTTAGAGGACTCAGATGACTAGGATAAGTCACCAGATCTTACTCCGGAGTTTGGTTTCAGCTTTTCTCACACTAACAGGCTGCAACATCAATGAATTCCTCTCCCACTTTTCAGAATGAGTTGTCTCTAACTTTCTGAAACAGCAATTCTAGCTTGGTATGGGTGAGCAAACCTTGTAGCAAGATGCCAGTATAGATAGGAATTCAGCAGTGTGCTGGAGGACTGGTGTTCCAGCTGAGAGTGGGCAGGGCAGACTGCATTAGAAGAAACAAGAAAGGAAACCATAGCAAGAAACCCATGGTAGGGCTTCCTGGAGGGCAGGAATTCAGTCAACCTGATTCTCCGGTCTTCCCAAGACATGACTTCTCTAGGGATGCAGCCACTCAGAAAGGGCAGACACACGGATGTAATGCAGACCAGAGGAGAATTGGAATTACTATGCAGAAAGGTGTGGAATGACAACAATAAAATGCAAGAGTCTCCTATCACTAGATAGTGAGTGTCTCTAACACTCAACACTTGCCATAGAGGTCAGAGCCCAAACACTGTCTTTCCCCAAGACTTCCGAGGTGATCTGAGTAGACTATCAGGAGGGAGGACTATTTCCCACTAGGTTAACTGTATCTGAAGCCCAGGATACACACAGGGGCTCATGGTAAGCTCTCAGCAAACATTTGAGAATCTCTAGAATAACTGGAAATCAGGAAGTTAAAAAAATGTCACAAAACCCCTTTAAATCTGTAGTCACTCTGGAAATCTACCTGTGACTCGCTTAGAAGATTCCTCTCTGTTAACCACCTCACTGATAGATCATGCTAGATGTTTTAATCAGACAAACACAGAGGATCTAAGATTCCCCTTTGAGAACAAGGACAAGAAGTGCATGTTTCCTGTTCCATTGACAGATTCGAGCACACTGACATGGGCATGGATTCTGTATCTGCTTTGTTGATTCCATGGTGGAATGCTTATAAAGTAATGTATCCTTCCCGTGGTGCAAAGCCCAGGACTCGTGAGAAGTTTATATTAACCAATCATTTATGTAGTCAGAAGATCATAGAGCATAAATCAAATTGAAGCTTTAACCTTGAATTTAGGAAAGCAAATGTGTATTGCTCTAAAAAAATATCCTTAGCATCAATTTGAATTCTGGTTTTCTTCTACAACTTTGGGCAAAAGAAGGATTCATAAATGTATACACGTATGCGTGCCTCACAAGGATGCTATCAAGGATTAAATGTTAAAGGAAGAGGTTATCATTTATTGTCCTTCTACTCCTATATTAGCCTTCACTTCTGCATATAAACAGGGAGGGTTTGGTCTCCAGGAGATGGGACTGTATGTTTGATTGCTTTGTTGTTATTGGCTAAATACATCGCTGTATCACACAGTGATATGACTCAGGGGTAAGCCAATTGCTGCCAACCCAACGACGTGAATTTGACCCCTAGGACCCACATGGTGGGAGAAGAAACTGATTCCCACAAGCTGTCCTCTGAACTATACACACACACACACACACACACACACACTGTGGCAAGTGTATACTCTAACCCCCCACAAATCCCACACAAAGTCAGTAGATAATATAAGTGTTGTAAAATGTCGCTAGGTGGTGGTGGCACACGCCTTTAATCCCAGCACTCGGGAGGCAGAGGCAGGTGGGTCTCTGTGAGTTCGAGACTAGCCTGGTCTACCGAGCAAGTTCCAGGACAGGCTCCAAAACAATATAGAGTAACCCTGTCTCCAAAAAACAAAACAAAAAAACATGTTGCCAGCCAATACAAACCAGTACAGGTACAGGGGCATTTTAGAAAGCATCCAAACTAAGAAGTCATATCCTTTTTTGTTTTGTTTTGTTTTTCAAGACAGGGTTTCTTTGTAGCTTTGGTAGACAGGGCTGGCCTCGAACTCACAGATCTGCCTGCCTGTGTGCTGGGATTAAAGGCATATGCCACAGTTTCCTGGCTCTCCCTCTCCCTCTCCCTCCCCCCCCCCTCTGTGTTTTAAATCTAGAATTCAGTGGAATCATTGTAAAGATGCTCCCTGTGCACCCCAGAAGAAAGTTCAGGTGTGAAATCTGAACATCTTGCTAAGAGGCTGCTTATTCGAACTCAGCACCGAGGATTTTAATCATCTAAATATTCCCACCAACCCTGGAAATGATGGCAACTGTCCACAGCTACATCCTACTGTACTTTGTTCTAACTTTCTGATCTCCATCTGCTTTTTAACCCATGCAATGGTAACCAAGGGAATTCTAAGTAAAGCCTAGAATAGCCTGCCTGGAAAGCCCATGCTAATGTAAATGCAGCCAACACACTAACTTTCTGTATTTAACTCAGCTCTGTGTTAAGTTTCAGGGCGGGGAGGGGGGGGGGGATCCACAGAGTTTAAAGTCACAGCGCAAGCAAGAAGTCTGAATGATAGCAGGAATTCTGAGTGAGACGTCCAGTTTGTGAAGGTTATTTGATGCCTCATCACTCCAGGACAATTGTTTACGTGATTTGAAAATAACATTTATGCCTCCTAGTTTACGAGGCTATCTCGCGGCACACGAGGCTCTGTGAAAGGCCGCCACTTGTGTACTTCGTGCAAGTGGAGGAAACAGCAAGCTGCAAAACAGCCCTCCCGAACCCAAACACAGCATAAGGTCGCTTAGCAACGCAACAAAACACAGCAAAACACTGTTTAGATTCAGCTGTGTCTTAAAAACAGGATTAGAGTCTGAAAACAACCCGTTTCTGTGATCCGCGAATTAGCAATGTCCGGTGTAGTTTAGCACAATCATGCAAAGCTGTGTGATGATCACTCCGGTCTCTGATGAATTGCTGGGGCTGTACGCGTGGAGTGTAATACATGGCCCAGTCGGCTTGGGTTCAGATCTATGTGTTCTGTTCCAGGTAAAATTTGGAGGTAGCTAACAATATCCAGCATGTTTCTTCTTCCCGTTTTAAAATATCCTGGCGAGTGCCCTCCTCTGTCCTAGGTTCACCTTCTGTAGTCATTTCCCTTGCTCCGTAGCCCTGCCTCCGAGTTGCGTTCCTGAGGTCATGCTCCCACTCTGATCCTGTCCCCCTCCTCTCGGGCATTTTACATCAAGCAGGCTAAGGACTATGACTATTTCCTCTTTAAGACCAGGTGCTTTGACAACTAGGAAGAAAGATCGGGGAAACTGAAGGGCATCAGAGCACTAGAGAGTTGCCTGAGGTTTTCCGTCAGCTACACTTGATGCTTCTGAGAGTGGGTGTTCCTTGAGAGAGTTAGCTTTTTTGGTTTGATTTTTCTACCCGTGTCTACTTTGGGCATTCTTCTCTTAATTCACTTAAAATGCACACGTTACGATAAATGATGACAGTTCAATATGCAATACCGGATGTTCAAAGGTTGTGGTTGTGGCTGCGCAATTACTTTTAACACCTTAACCCCATTGTGTCCACAGCCACAGAAGATCGGATCTGCCAAAGTGTGGGTAGAAAAATGGCCTGTCACTTGTTCTCATTTCAATGCCACCCTTTCTTACTGTGTAGGAAGTTTAATCCCATTATCTATATATGATTCACAAGATTTACCCCTGGCATATTTGGACAGGACACACCAGCTCCTGATGAGTTGGAATGAATAAAAAGGTTTTATTTTTGGAATTAAAGATCAACCAGGCAACATGACCAGAAACTTGGAAGAGCAATTATTGTAAAGTATACCATAAAGTGACAAATTCCCCAACCCTCTTCCAGAAAGGCTGGCCGGACTGTGAACCTCAACACAGCCTGTTCCTAAATGTCTATCTGGGGGATTTCCTCAGACTTCCTACATGAGCCTCTCACCCTGGTTTATGGTGGAGACGGAACCTTGGTCTCTTAAGCATGTGGGTTAAGGGTTCTACCTCTCAGCTAGATCCCAAGCCTGCCTTGTTTTTGTCTTCATTGGCACTGAAAAGGGCTGTCTCTTAATGAAAACTCTGTATAGCTTGAGACTATAAGCAGTCTGTAAGCAGTGGATCTGTAAGCAGTGATCCTAAGTTTTTTTTTGTTTTTTTTGGGGGGGGGTATTTTGCGCCTGCTGGTCGACCCGGAGCATTCATTATAATCACCCATTGCTTAAATTACAGCAAGAGTGGGAGAGCTGGGATTTTGATTTGCTGATGTCATCCAGTCCACTTTTAACATCTCCCAGAGGCAGGAGGCAAGGACTAAAGAGGCTGATCATGGGGGTTTAGCCTGGGGTTGATAAGACAGAGGTACTGGGGCTTGGAATGAGGGCAGTAATTCTTTTTTCCAGTTTTCTCTTGGCTCTGGGTTTGCTGAGAACAGAGCAGCCTCCCAGCTCATGTGTGGCTCCCAGCATCAGCTGTGTTGTGGGTGTGGCTCATGCTGTGGTAGTTGTGGCACAGCTGTGTCTGATGTTCCCCCTTCTTCCCTATGGGGGTGATAAAGAGAACAGCAGGAGGTCAGAAGACCACACAGCAGGAGCTTTACAAATTCCATCCCAGCTGCCATGGGGTGGGCTACCTCTCATAGAGCTGACCTTTGACGTCTTGGTTCCACAGGTATAGTCTATGATGGAGACCTTGTGTCGATGAATCAGAATAATGGCAACAACTAGCATCTATAAAAGGTACATTGTATGTCAAATAAACCAAGTGGTTTTTACATGCGCTATGTAAACCCAGATCCTTGTTTTCCACACGAGGAAAAGGAGAAGTGAACCCATTCCTGAAGGCCATAGGTAACGTGTGGAAGAGCTGGCCTGTGCTCACAGCTGCCGGGTGCTGGAGCACAGCCCCGGCTCCTCGTAGACACCATCTGTGTTGTGTCTTTCTTCTGCTTTCCTTCCTTCACTCCTTTCCTTTGTTTACAACTCGGAGAAGTGGGGGTCTCTGGTTTATACACAGGATTTGGGTAAGATTATATTTTTTAACTGAAAAATGTAATTACATGTATTTATGAGCGTAATCTGATATTGTAAGTATGCAGTGTGTACTGATCCAGTCTTCAGTGTCTCCCTTTAACTAGTGACTGCAGTACAGTTTGTCAAAACAGTTTCTATAACCAGACATACTGACCCTTGGGGCTGGCTGGCATGGTAAGCTCCGTGCTCTGCCTTCCCTTGTTTAGAGCTCTTCCGTGCATACATGCAATTTGGAAGAGGGCTAGAAGCAGATCCAGCTGCAGTTTTGCGTCTGCAATCTTTTGTTCTGTGAAACAGCTCATTCCCCTAACAATTCCAAACATGCCAGGAAAATGCACTGAAATCAATAGCAGGGGCCAGTTCTGGCAAGCACTTAGGAGCACGGCTAATTCTACCGTAATAAGTCCCAACCTTCCAAGAGGGAAAGAGAACCCAACCAAAAGATTCTGGATTTCCTTGAGTTCTCCAGCATTTGCTTTTAAGTAGTTGGAAAACTGATGGCTGAAATTTGTTAATAGTCAAGGAAATAAACCAAAACAAGAAAAAAAGGGCTAGCAAGTTCCACCTCTTCTTTCCCTTCCAAACATACCAAATAGGTGTGTGTGTGTGTGTGTGTGTGTGTGTGTGTGTGTGTGTGTGTGTGAGAGAGAGAGAGAGAGAGAGAGAGAGAGGGAGTTCACACGTGTGTGCAGGTGCATGCCCTTGTGTGCAAGTGGATACTGGAGGTCATTCAACATTAGACGTCTTCCCCTCAGTCACTCACCACCTTAGTTTTTGAGATAGGGTCTCTCACTGAATCTGGAGCTCACTGATCGGTCTAGGGTGGCTAGACAGTGAGCCCCAAAGATCTGCCTACGTTTGCCCTGCCAGTACTGGATGCCATCACAACCCAGCTGTAGATGTGGGTGCTGGGGTCTCAGGTCCTCATGCTTACATAGCAGGTGATTTACTCTCCAAGCCATCGGCGCACCCTCTTTTAGTGATGGTTTTCATTCTGTTTTTCAGGATGGTGGTCACGTGCTTATGAATGACAAAATTAGATCCTTGAGAAGGTGCATTAATATTGACACTTTCCAAAGATGACGAAGAGGCTGCTGCTCTCTTTCATAACCCGACCATCTGGATAAACTGTCTCAGTCTAATTTTGATAGTGCCCACAGGTATCTTTATAGAGAGACTGGAATGTGAATAGAAAAAGTCTCATAAAAATCTCTCCGATCTTCACGTTTTGCTAAAATATCACCTTCTTCCAGGTAATACTAGCCAGGCTGACTATGATTAGCTCAGACGTGAAGAGAGATGAGGTGCATTCATCATTGTATGACAACACACAAAATATCTCCTAACACAACATTTTAAAGCGATGAAATATGGAATGAGATAAATGGACTGGAATTTTAAAACACGACTTCTTCATTACTTATATAATAAAGTTGTTAATTTTAGTCCCCCTCTTTTAAACATATGACTTACATTCTTCTGTGAACTTAAGAAAATCACCTTGTTACCCATGCAAAATAACCTCCTGTTCATTTTGTTTTTGTGTACTCCCCATTCACAGCCAAGTGCTGTGTGATACTCCAGAAGAAGGAATCTGCAGGCTTGAGATGGAAATGTGATGCCTGGCAGGGAGTCATTAAATTCTAAGAAGGCAACTGCTTTTCTGACCCTAACTCCATGAACAATATAAAATTTTTTTGATACATACAAATCCTAAATCGATACATAGGCACTGTTGGTGGGAAACTCTACTGGTAACTTAAATTCTGGACCAAGGTGTCCATTGACGTTTTACATGCATTTTATTTTGGTTTTTACGAGACAGGGTTTGTCTGTATTGTTTTGGAGGCTTATCGGTCCAGCCCAGCCTCGAACTCACAGAGATCCGCCTGCCTCTGCCTCCCGAGTGCTGGGATTAAAGGCATGCGACACCACTGCCCGGCTGCAGGCTTATTTTCTATCTCCAAACTTGTCCTCCCTCCACTGCAACTCCATAACTCCATTTGGAGGTGATCACATAGGACACCCTTGATAGCATTTGCAGAAGGAATGCATATATGTGCCAGGGTCATTCCCACAGGAATTCTTAATGGAATAAATGCTTGCAAAACAAGTTTTCTACCATTGAGAGAGAGAGAGGGACAAGAGATGTATAAAACAGTTTCATAGGTCAAAAATAGTACAACTTCACCCTTCAGTTAAGCAGTTCCTGTGCCTGAGCAAAGGCTTGGAGCCCTGGACACAGACACAGCCCAGGCCTCCACCTGTTCTCACCTGAGGGTTGGCAGCCATGATTGTGTAGTTCCCATCATCGTCTAGGGTAGAGGCCGTGGTGTGCAGGGAGCAGGTCCCATCAAGGTCTCTCTGAATGGTGTAGTGATCACTCTTTGGAGAAATCTGCTTCCCATCCTTAAACCAATAGATCTGTGGAAGAAAAGAAAGGTAAAGACTATGTGTGTGCTCTTACCGTTCAGATGTGTAGCAGGCCCAATCTGCAGAGGGCACTGTTAAAATGCTAAACCAAGCATCTCATGGGAGACTGAATTTTGAGCAATAAAAGGAGGTAACAGCAAATCCAATTTCATTTCAGTTTTAAAAAGTGTGTGTGTGTGTGTGTGTGTGTGTGTGTGTGTGTGTGTATGTGCACATGTACACTTGTAGAGGCCATATGAAAGTATCAGATCTCCTGGAGCTCGAGTTGGGTTGTGAGCCATCTGATGTGGGTGCTGGGAACCAAACCCAGGTCATCCAAAAAAAGGACTTAAGTGCTCCAAACTGCTGAGCCATCTCTCCACCCTGCTGTACCCCAATTTTTGTTTAATCAATATATGCATGAAAATGTATCTTCTTGCTCATTGAAGCTGTGCTTTCCATTCCTATTATTTACATGAAGTAATATGCGTATATACAGCCTTGGCGGTGACTAGCTCTATGAAGTGGCAGTTCAGGCATTTTTACTTTCTTTCAAACAGTATTGGCAATTGAAATGTATTACCTGTAAAGATGAAAAGCTTGCTTTATAAAACAAAAAGTGGCTTGCCGCGGGGAGGGAGGAAGCGTACCAGGGAGGGAGGTGGAACACACAGACGGATGCTGGCTGGCTGGAAGGCCGCTATTGTAATTCTGGGTCAAGATGCGTGTGGTTCACATTCATCAATGCTCCCCATTGTTGTTTTAAAAAGAGCACAGTATAATTGAAAGGCACAACATTTTTAAATATGCAAGTTGGACTGATTGGAGACTATATGTTAAAACTAATTAGGTAAAAATAAATCTTGATCAAATATGTTTTTTTGTCTAAAGTTCCAATTTGTACAGGGTAATGGAGATGGGATGGTTGGATGGGAAAGCGAAGGGTGTCTAACCAGGAGGCAGAACCAGCCTGGTGGGGGTGAAGAGCCGGGGAGGACTGTTGGCAGGGGACCGAGTAAGAGCGAACATGATGGAAGGATGTAGGAGGATGCCATGAAACCCACTGCTGAGTATGCTCACCTAAGTATTAATGAAAAACCTTCCATCCCGGAGTTAGGAAGACCCTACACATTTAGTACTGAATAAACACGCCCATTACTACACTCTTACCGCAATAGCTTTTCCTAACTCCCCTTTCCCCCTCGAGACAGGGTCTTACTGTGTAGCCCTGGCTGTCCTGGAACTCAGGATGGTCTCAAACTCACAGAGATCCACCTGCCTCTGTGGTGATATCTTGCTTGTACAAATAAAGCCTGTCTGAAGAGCAGAGGATGGAGCTTGCCACTAGCTAACCATAGAGGTCTGGAGGTCTGGACAGATAGACAGGAAGTGAGAAGGGGAAAATGATGTGGGATAATGCTCTTATAAACTGCAAAGATTTGTCACTTGTATACTTTTAATAAAATGCTGATTGGTCAGTAGCCAGGCAGGAAGTATAGGCAGGGCCATGAGACTGGAAGAATTCTGGGAAGAGGAAAGGCAGAGACGCAGTCACCAGCCTGATACAGAGGAAGCAAGATGAGAATTCCTTACTGAGAAAAGGTACCAAGCCATGTGGCTAAACTTAAATAAGAATTGTGGGTTAATTTAAGTTGTAAGAGCTTTTCAGTAATAAGCCTGAGCAATAGACCAACCAGGTTATAATTAATATAAGCCTCTGTGTGTTTATTTGGGACTAAACAGCTTTGGGCCTGGACAGGACAGAAACTTACATCTACATGGCTCTGCCTCCCCAGTGCTGGGATTAAGGGCATGTGTCACCATGCCTGGCTTTCTTTAACTCCTGTGTTTTTTAAGTTGGATCCCAGTTATAAAAACTGCATTATGCAATGACCACCGGAGTTAGGTTAAGTTTCAGCTCTAAAATTATATAGGGCATCATCCCTCCTAGTATGCATTTATAGTGATTTGATTATTTCTGATGAAGCGAAGGTGCAACCAGAAGAATGTTTCCTGTGTGTTGCCCAGGTATTTTGTTACAGTGATGCTTAAAAAGTGATGTCTTCTGCTTACCTTTGGCTTTGGATTCCCAGCCACTCGACACGTGAAAGTCACGGGCATCCCCTCAAAGATCTTGTAGTGTTTCAGCTTCATCTCGAAGAAGGGTGCCACTGCACTCTCCGCGGGTACGTCCGCATACTGCCCCTCGTCCCCTGACTCATCCACGGGAGACCTTTCCAGCCGATACTCTATCTCACTTATCAGCCTCTGCTCACAGCTGGAGACTTTGTACTCCTAGACCAGACACAGAAGCTCCAAGTCAACATCCCCTGAGACAGTAGCTCCCTCGCTAACAAATCACCAGGAGGTAGGCTATTTTTACAGTGAATCATGGTCTGGGCTCAATTCAATTTCATAGGGAAGCAGAAAGCATCTGGAATTGAGTTTGTGTGATATTTAAAATCATCTTCAAATCTGACTCCCAAAATAAAACAAAAACCATAAGCAAACAAGCAAACACCCACTACCTTTCTTGGAAAGGGGTGGAGAGGGAGCAGTTTAAAATATGAAGGGAAGGCTAGCCATTCTAAACGCCTAAGAAGGCATACTGGTCTCTTCTATTAGGTAAAAACCGATGCGGGTGCACGCCCTTCCAGAAGGCTACCGGTGTGTGGGGCCAGCAGCTGCAATAGTGAGTGAATTTTATTAAGGAAAGGGGATCGCACCACCGTTTTCTACTTTTACTTCTTTTTAAACACAATACATGCATTACATTGGGGTTGCCTCCTAAATCTGCAACTATTAGGAGCCCGTTTCTTAAACAAAAGCAAGATTGATGGTTTAGCCACAACTTTGGTTAACAACCAAAGCAACTCCAAGACATATGTGACAGTGTTCGGGGTGGAATCTGCAGTTTCCTGCCTGCAAACTCCATGGACACAGGATAACCCATCATGGCATATTCCCTAGGTAATACTGAGTAGGAACCTCATTCATTCATTCATTCATTCATTCATTCATTCATTCGTTCATTCATTCAGAGGCAGGCTCTTGCTGTGTGGCCTAGGCTGGCCTCAAGCTCGGCCATTCTGCTGCTTCAGTTTTTGGGGCGTGGGAATGCAGGTGTGCATTGCTATGCTCACTTCAGAGCCTGTTTTAATCATGCCTCTTCCTTTAAAAAGTCACTTAACCTTCTGAAAATAGTTTATTGGTCTGAGGAAAGGAATACAGCAGTCTGAGTAAAATCATGAAACCCACACACTGCAAGCTGTTTCGTTTCATTTAATTACTATCAAATGTATCATTCCCACCCCTCCCGGAAGGGTGGATAACGAATGAAAAATTTTTCCACGCCTCAAAGTTTACTGTATTCATTCATGCTAGAAATTAATGTTAACCTGGTAGGTACACTATAAGAAAAGGCACATTCATTTGAGACTAAATGAAACATCGATACCAGCCACAGTATTTATGATTACCACACAGCAGTGAAGACGGACACACAGACACGGAAGGAAGCACAGAAGGGAGGGACAGTGGGAGACTGGACAGAGGGGAAGGGTGGAGCTTAACCTTTTGACCGTCCAGAGGACTTCCTACGGAAGCCCGAGGAGCCCCAACGTCCTGTAAAGGCAGAAAACAAGAGGTGAAGACTGGCAGGCAGGTGTAGCGGGATCTCTAGGTTCCTTTGCATGGGACGTCTGTGGTCGTCTGTGGTGGCAATAGTGAGCTTGCAGCTTCTGGAGGGAAATCTGCTCTCGGGAACAGGGAGACGAGTCACTTGACCCCTTAGACTTGTTTTAAATCTTTGTGGGGCCCCTTTCGTTTGTTTTTCATTTGGGACTACATCTAAAACTCTAATGGGGCCTAATAGAATTATAAAGCAGATGACACCATATCCACAAGCTGACTTTTCTCTTTTGGTAGTAACAGGGGCGTGCGACAGCCCCTTAGGTCTCTGTTGGTTAGTGTTCTATGGTCACCCTCATGAAAGAGGTCAGAGGTGCTCTTTTGTGAGCATAGGGTGTCTACTTTTGGCTGGCATTAAGAACACGATTAGCTTAGGTCAAAGATTGTGAGTGAAATGGTTTTTCCATACAAAACCATTTTGCGTTAAAGCATAGGACAGTTTGAAAAACATGAAGACACTGGAAAGGGAAGCATACAGATCAATAGCAGGCATCGACCAGTCCATAGAGAGGCTCTAGTGACCATCCTCAGCAGGCTCAGGCGTCTGCCCGGGGAGTACCACCGATGAGGTAGACGGGGCAGCACCCCTGCTTTTCTCGCCTGCTGCCTGCCACACGACTGATCTCCAGGACAGAGTCCATGAGAGTGTGGGGAGAGAGTGGGCAGAGTGGCGATTACATCCCAGGAAGTTCAGAGCAGTGTGGTACCTGATTGGCTGCTGCTTCTTCTGGCTCCTGGATGTTGAAGACATTTGCGCTGTCAGCACCGAGCAGGCGACGAGCCATTCTTTCCTCATATGTTAGCCTCTGTGCAAAACAAGTCACAGACATACAAAATTAGGGGAAAATCATAAGGACGCATTGCTAATGGGAAAAGAATAAAGACGTAGAATAGGTTTTGACATTTGCTTTTCTGTAACTAGTCTCTTCTCGGCTTTATAGCTCTATCCCCGAGAGTCTGTTTCTTTTTCTGGCTTCAGTCAGGAATGAATGGCCTTTCCTGCTTCCTATGGTCTAAACCAATGCTGGGAGGTGAGGTAACTAACCCTGGCGGCTACCACCTGATATGACTCAGATCCAAGGGAACGGTAAGAGGCCATGCTGAGCCCACGGAGGATAGTGTGTCGTCCTTATCCTTAGGGGGAAAACAGAGGACAAAGACGCTTTTAAGTCAGCAGAGGAAGATGTTCTTAAACTTAAAAGAGGTGTTCTTCTCAAAGACGTTCACAAGTTCCAGAACATCCGTGCCAGACAGTGACAGAAAGAGAGCTGCTCCAAGGGAGCACTGAGAGGAAGAGCAGGCCTTGCAGGCAGGGACAACCCCACCGGTCAGATCCCACCACCTGCGACACCCAGAAGGTGCTCACTCAGCAGGAGCACCTGGGAGTCTGAGGTTGGCTCCACCTAGGAGGACACTGCCTCGGCGGCTGCGCAGGGTGAGCAACTCCAGGCTAATATAATCACACGGACAAGCCAGCACCCAGCAGGCACAGCCGGTGACTTCTCAGACCACACTGCTTGACCCCTGGGAGGAAGTCCATAATGCTGCTCTCTCTAACTGTCTCCATAATGCTGCTCTCTCTCTCTGTCTCCATAATGCTGCTCTCTCTAACTGTCTTCACAATGCTGCTCTCTCTAACTGTCTCCATAATGCTGCTCTCTCTCTCTAACTGTCTCCATAATGCTGCTCTCTCTCTCTAACTGTCTCCACAATGCTGCGCTCTCTCTCTAACTGTCTCCATAATGCTGCTCTCTCTCTCTCTCTCTGTCTCCATCATGCTGCTCTCTCTAACTGTCCGCTGGGCCATTCCTACGAGTGACAAGTCAGCAGTTCTGCCATTCTTGTATTGTGTGTTTTTTCTATGTGCCTTAGGCTTCTGGGTCTCGGAGGGACTTCGAGAACCCACAAATCCCTTTAGGGGCATTTTCAAACAAGGGATCCATTAGAAATATGGAATAATTAGTAGGGTAGGATCTAAAAAAATTACAAAAGTACAAGCAGTATTTTAGACCAACCTTCGAATTTCTGAATGTCAAAACAAACACTATTCAACATTTTCTAATCAGAAAACTATGTTGGATGAATTTACAGTTTCCAGTAATTGCTGGTGCTGGTCCCAGCTGAAACTGGGAAGTGAAACAGATCAAATGCCAAATAGCCCTAAGGTTGAAAGTATTTCATTTGCTAAAGAAATGGCAGGGGACACAAAGAGGGTGTCTGAATGTTTCAGGGAGTGATTCGGCCCAGTGATCACGCGCAATGATTTATCAGTTCTGTTCACACGGGGGAGTTCAATTCTCTAATGGAGTTTTAGATCCCTGCTCTCTTATAAAGCCTTCCTCGTGGTCTGGTGGAGAATGATGTCATAGGTGGAAGCTTGTTTGCATAGGCAGAAATAGCACTGGTACCTACTCCCTCACCAAGATGCCCCTGGTGCCCTCAGAGCCAATTTTACTTCATAGTTTGGTTTCTATGTCACTGTGCCATGTGGAAATTCAAGCCCTTGTCCATAGAAGCCAAAATAAGTAACAGAATATTATGTAATGGTATGAATAACTCATTTGAGAATCGTTTTTTTTAAAAAGGAACTTGGCTTTTCTTGTGCTAAACCATCAAATGTGAGATTGATGAAAGTAACCATGAATGCTTGTTTATTGCTAAACAGACAAATATAAATAATGTATATGTGTATGAGTTATAAAATATATACAAGTCAAATAATATGGTCGAGTTGTACCTTATAGAATTTTATTTTTATCCAAGGGAACCCCTATCCATAAGGAACATTTAAATAAAAAAGAAATAGTGTGCTGGGGGAGTTGGAGAGATGCCCTCACCTGGCTACAAAAAAATTCCCATTAGCATCTGTTTTAATCTTCCAAAGGCGTTTGTTGCCAGAACCAGAGAATGTTTCCAGAGTATGTGCAATTGCTGTCAGGGAAATACTTCCCTCTTGTGCAGAGCCTCAAAATCCAGGGAAATGAGCATCGCAAAATTTCCTGGAGCTTAAACTCCCTTAGATTAAGAGTCCTTAATCATTAGCATCAGCATCTAATATCTCCTTTCTCCAACTTGCCAAGTAAACTCATCCACATTTTTTATCAGTGTTTCTCAGTTAGAAATCCCAGAACGCTAAAGTGTTTTCTGTTTGGAAAAGGCATCCCAGAGGGTTTTATACAGAGGCCCCTTCAGCTGAGGAGCCAAGCTTATTTTTCTGGTATTTCATGATAAATCCACAAAGGACACCCTCTCCCTATATTCAGGCTGCCTGATTTGCTAGCTTTTCCCAGCCCTGTAAAAACTTGGAGATGGTAAGAGGAGAGTGGACAAGCAAACAAACACAGTTGTGGAACATTTAAGTAGTGAACGAACCATCTATTTTCAGATTGGTGGATATCGTCACTAACACATAGCCTTAAAGCACAAGTATTTTATTATTATTACTATTTTGGTCATGTTTGCTTTAGAACTCCAAACAAGGCTGGAGAGATGGCTCACAGGTTAAGAACACTGGCTGCTCTTCCAGAGGTCCTGAGTTCAATTCCCAGCAACCACATGGTGGCTCATAACCATCTGTAATGAGATCTGGTGCCCTCTTCTGACATGCAGGCATACATGGAGGTAGAATGTTGTTTACATAATAAATAAATAAATAATAATAATAATAAAAAACTCCGAACACGGACTGTGGGACAGGCACTGCTGGCAGGTGAGGGCACAATGTCTACTCAGTCAGGGAGGCTAGGATCCCGCCTGGGCAATGGTTTCACTAGTACACGTTATTCTGGGTGGAAGCCTTTCCTTATAGTTCATTGCTTCTGGGGGCCTGATCTCCCACATCACCTTCCTGTGTCCCCCCGAGGAGCCACCGAGCTCTGTGGAATCTCTGTGGATGTGGATGGTTAGTAGCTGCCTCGTTAATCATGTGTTGTGGTTCCAACCCTAGCGGCTGCCCTTCCTACTTCTTTCCCACTCACTAAGAGCAACGCTGAGACTCAGACATCACGAAACAGTCTGGTGGGTAAGTCTTAGGAACCCGGGCCTTAGCGAACCAGGAGAAGAGATCTGGGGAGCAGGGAGCTAGGATTCTGAGTGTGAGTCCCCCTTCCGTCGTTACCGGCTGGCCGTTGTTCAGAAGGTCCTCCTTGAAGCGAAGTTTCCGTTCCAGGTCTTGAATGACAGCATCCTTTGTGCCCTGAATCTCCTCGTCCGAGGCTATTCTAGCAGTTCTACTGGCCTTCTTCGGAAATCCGCTGTGCAACAAAAGCACAAGGTGGTACAGTGAGCACGAGTCCCAGGCAGACATTCGAGTTCAACAGAGAAAGTACGACACAGCAAGATGCCATTAAAACATCGACAGCCGCTCATACGAAAGGAAACGCGAAGATGCTTTCAGGAGTTCAGGAAGCACCGACTGGAACCAGTTCCTGGAGGAGGTCCAGATACCCAGAAAGCATCCTCAGTGGCTAGGCAAATGCCACCGACAGGGAATGCCTGCGTTTCAATCCTAGGGATTTTCACATTAGGGATATTCAACCTGAATTACATTTGCTACTTTCCTTCCCATTTCCACATATTCTATTTGACCAATGTAAGCCTGAGTTATAAAACTTTTGGTGTGGTTTTACACAAGAGGGCTCTGGCAGGTCTGCATGGCTTACCATGGTAAGCAGTAAATCTCAACTCCTACAATAAGTCACATTATAGGTAACACGGCCAGACCCTTCTTTCCTAGGACTGCAGCAATTCCTGCACTGTGCACCAGGGGGCACCAGTGCTGCGTGTTGGATAGGCGTGAACGCCTGTTGGTGTCTCAAGCACATAGACTACTTTCTATTTTTCAGTGGGTGCAAATCAAGGAGAGACTGAACGAAAATGAATGACCCAAAACTACCCTATTCAACATAGTTGAATTGTGAGGTTAAAAGAAAAAAAGCTAGTCATAGAAAAAAATTGCATTTTGTATTTCCACTTATAAAGAGGCAACAGCTAAAGTCTGGTCATAGGGGCCATGACTCTCTGAGTGTATGGACCAATAGGTCACCATGAATGACCCTGAGGAGTTGTTAGTGCCAGATCTGCGACCTCACTCCAAACCTGACTCAGTAGAATCGGAAACTCTGGGCTGCCGTGTTTAATAACATCTCCGGGTGATTCTGATATGTGGGAAGGTTGGATACACAAACCCAGGGAAACATACACATGTGGTAAAATTAGGAAGAATTACCAACTCAGAAATCCAGGGTATTGTTAGCTTGGGGGGCAAAGAGTGTAGGGTTTGTAGCTGGTGGGGTTTTCAAAGGTAAAGCAATGATACGTTATTAGTACATGTAAACTATATGTATCCTGCAATAGGATATTTCTAAATAACAAAAGAAAACTTACTACAAATGTGTCCATACATCACCCCCTGACACCATCGTCTACCATGGTAAGAAGTAACGGGTTTACCAACTTTTGATTCCTAGCGTTCTGTTTAGCCTTGGGGGGATCGAAATCAAGCCAAAACACGCAAGCAGAAAGTGCGGGGATGCTGTGACTGAGCCACACCCTCCATACACGTGCTGATGCTGTGTACCCTGGGGACTGGCCATGAGTCTGTCCAGCCGCCATTCTCCCTGTGGTCCATGTGTCTTTGACTCCCTCTTGAAGCTCTTGATTCTGTTGCGTGTGTATCCTGAACGCTTAGAGAGGAGATCTCCTACCCTGATGCAGGGCTGATCCTAAAGCAATCTGAGGTTCTGTTTGTCTGCTTTTTTCCATTCTTCTGGGTATTAGTTAATTTTGTAAAGGTAGGTGGCGTGCCTTGGCCCCCCGAGAGGTGAGTTATGGAAGAGGGATGGGAAGGTCGTGTGCTCCCATCTCTAAGAGGAGACTTAAAGGGAGACTCGTCTCTTCCTTCACTGGTAGAAATATAATGCCTCATCCTAGTCTTGTTTTGTAAGTCAGCAAACCCCGTGCATTTCATCTACTTGTCTTCTGATACTTACAGAGGAAACTATCCCACCTCATAAAACCTGGGTTTCCAGGTCCATCTAATTCAGTCAACTTTGTCCCAGCACGTTAGAGTTAAACATTAAAGAAGCAAATAAAAATGGTAACATCTTTAACTTGAGATTTAGGGAGACTGGAAGGGGCAAAATAAAAAATTAGGCAGCGAAATTGCTTAAGGCACCAATAGAGTCATATGAGTTATGATTTAGAATTCAACTTTTAGTACCATGTAGCCATTTGACAAAAATGCTCACAGACTTTCTTCCAGTTACATCATCGGCTTTTGCCCTGATGTCTCATTGGGGAAAAAAGGGCCTAAGTCTATCCTGTTGGTAACGCCCCATGTTAAGTTCCTCGTGCATCTATCATACTGATTACTGGTGTTCTTGAACGGTCTCTTTTCCCCTGGGGCTGCTTTTGTTCACACGCAGATGTTATCTTCACTTCTATCTTTCTCTCTTTTCCCTCCTCAGTCAAGAATACTTGTGCCGTACCACGTGAAAGCACATGACTTGGGAAAAGCTGGGCAGTGGTGGCACACACCTCTAATCCCAGTGCTCGGGAGGCAGAGGCAGGTAGAGCTCTGGGAGTTTGAGGCCAGCCTGGTCTACAGAGCGAGTTCCCAGGACAGACAGGGCTGTTACACAGAGCAACCCTGTCTCAGACAAAACAAACAAAAAGCAAAGCAAAACCAAAAAGAACCAAAGGCCTAAGAAGATGAATGTCAAGAACAGAACAATCTAAATGAGAGAAACAGGGAGCTGCTGTTTACAGACAGTCTCAACCGTCCGGGAACGATACCACCGTCTTTACTGGAGTGGGTCCTCCTGGCTGAAAAGCATTTTCCATTCTGCTTGACTCTATTTAGGGGACTTAGAATAGCTTATCTGGGGAATGTCACAGGCATCGTCTGTCTTGGTGTGGTCTCTACCACATCATTTCAATACAGGAAAGAAAAAGAATAAAGGGAAGGACATTCCCCGGGGCAGAAAGAGACACATACTGTCAGGTGTATAGACTGATGGCAGCCAGGTGCCGTAGTGGAGGGTGTAAAGGACTTGATGTTACTACCGTTGTGAAGAGCTGTGGAGATCTGGTAGGCAGTGCATAGACCCTGTGGTCAGAACGAGCCGTCAGGGTCAACAGGCAGTCACTGTGAACCATGAAGGAAGAGGTGGCGAAGACATCATTTCTCCTACATAGTTTAATTCGGAACATTTAGAACTGGGGGTGGGGTGGTGGTGGGAGGAGTTCATTGGAATAATTCAGAAAATATTTTAGGAAAGCAAGTTAAAAACTGCGGGTAAAGTTTGGAGTACCACGTAAGACTGGCATAAGGAATCAAAATGAAGCATTCGGGAAGGGGGCGCACACGGAAAGAAAACTGATTCCATTTTGAATGCCCTGCTGGGGTTGAAAGTGACAGGGCTGAGGGACTGCGTCCTCAGGTGGTCCTCCCTGCTTTTGACAACAGAAGAAGAGCCAGCAGCTGCTGACAAGGGGCCTTCTCTCTCCAGGGGATTTGTTCAACTAAAAAAAAAAATGCTTATTCAAATAAATGGTTCTGAAACTAGACCTTCTCTCAAAATTCCGCACTCAGAGGCAAACCTGAGCCAGCGAACCCATCGGAACAGGCTTCCCCTCTAGGACTTCAGTGTATACGCTAGGTCCGATTGCAAAGGGCACCGCAGAGCCCTTTCCTCGTCTGCCTTTGACAGTACGTCACTTGCCGTTTTAAATAGTATCCATGTGGCTGGGGCAAAGGCGTTTAGAGCCCACAAAGACCGCCTGGAAGGTAAACTCTTCCGGGTCAGATCCCCACCGCACAACTCCCCTTGCTACCCTCCTTCAGGCCAGTCTGACAGCCGGCGAAAACAGTTCTGAGCATGCAACCGTTCCAGCCTGTCTCTCCAACCTCTCTAAGCCCTTTTCCTCTACTGAAGTGAGTGGCCTGAGGGTGACTGAGTTCCACAACCATCGCAGGGCCTGAAAGCCCACGTTTCAGATCCTTCCTGTACCTGAGGGTGTCATACGCTTAAGAAAATGTAAAAGACGGTATTTTTTTTTTAAATCTGTCCTATTTTAAACTGAATTTTGCTGCTAGACTGAAATGGCCAAAGCACAGAAAATTGAGTGCTTATTTCAAGGACGTTGGTTAATGTCTGGTTGTTTTCTGTGAGGAGTGAATTGAGAAAGGCCCACACACAGCCCTGCATGACTTGGTATTGCGTCACCCCTGACTGAGTCTAACTGAGCTACCCTGCTCGGAGACATTTTCACAGAGCCTCCGCCTGTCTGCACAAAGGTACTAGAGGCCTTGCCTGGGAAGCCACTGGGAAATGCAGGCCCGGGAGAGGATCCATCTTTGTGTGGGTGTCTAATGACAGGACCCCAGGGGATGCTTCCAATTCCTTCAGTAGGGAACAGCAAGGCACCTACCTATGTGTCTCAGGAAAACCCGAATAATGAGAAGCCTGCCAGATCCAATGTCCTTTTCTTCTGCTGGGTTCTCTTTTTACTGGTTACTGTTTAACCAAAGGCTTGACTTGAAAAAATGAGTTAAAATGCTCACAGGTCTAAAATTTAACTGTACACTGAGCCTGTCACAGCCAAGCATCTCCTTAAGACCCAGAGAACTGCCTTGCTTTGTGGTGATGTTTTGTTTATGCTCTAACAAATAAAGCTTGCCTGAGGATCAGAGCTAGCCACACTAATTAGCCATAGAACCAGGCGGTGGTGGTGCACACCTTTCATTCCAGCACTTGGGAGACAGAGGCAGCTGGATCTCTGGGAGTTCAAGGCCACCCTGAGCTGCATGAAAGTGATCCAGTCTAAAAGAGAAACAGAGCTCACACAAAGGTGATCTCAGCACTTGGGATCCCACACCTTTAATCCCAGCACTAGAGAGAGAGGAATACAAGGTGGGAGGAGACAGGAGCTCAGTGCAGTCTGAGGTTTGGTGGAGACAGAAGAAGTCTGAGGATGCAGTCTGAGGACAGGACCACCCTTTGGTCTGAGCATTGGTAGAGGAAAGAACTCTCTAGTGGCTGGCTGCTTTACTTCTCTGGCCTTCAGCATTAACCCCAACGTTTGACTCTGCGTTTTTATTATTAAGAATAGTTGGAATTTGTGCTACAATGCTTCCATAGCTGTTTTCTTCAGGATTACACCTGTTAGAGACCAACAGAGGCAATGCACTCTGGGCTGGGTCACAGCGAGTCCTCTCTGCTCAGTTTTTTTCCCAGACTCCGGGAAATCCCCTCACTGCATGCTGCACTCTGAGAGTGCCCCCACTGCCTGGTCCTATAAACCAAGGGAAATAGACGGTACTGGAAGGTTTGTATAGAGCTGGCTGAAATGCTCTCAGGGCACCCACGTGAAAGACACGCAGGCACAGGCTCTTAGTTCTGACAAATGTGGGGCAATATTTCAAGCCAAAGCTCTACTCATAATAAAGAGGAAATTGAGGGCTGTCGCACCCTGAGCATGGTGGTGGATGCCTTTAATTTCAGCACTTGGGAGACAGAGGCAGGGAGATTGGGAGTTCAAGGGGAGTCTCAGTTACTTGGGAGTTTGAGGCCAGGGTAGGCTACATGAGACCTTACCTTAAAAAAAAAAAGCCAGAGACAGAGTGGGAGGGAGGGAGAAAGGGAGAGAGAGAGAGAGAGAGAGAGAGAGAGAAGAAGAAGAAGAAGAAGAAGGAGGAGGAGGAGGAGGAGGAGGAGGAGGAGGAGGAGGAGGAGGAGGAGGAGGAAGGAGAGGGATTGGGAGAGAAGGGGGGTTGACGGATACACTGTCATGGACTTGGTGACACATGCATGCAGTCCCAGTACTTAAGAGGATGACACTGGAAGAGAGCAGGTGCTGTCTCATAAAATAAAATAAAATAAAACAGAAGAGGGTGGAGCACTGTGGCTATGCCACACCCCCTACGGGAATAGAAGTTAATACTGATGGTGAACAAAAGCCACCCCAGGGAATGGAGTTGATCTGATCCAATCCCCAGACCTGGCACTACATTCAGGGATCCTCTGGAGACTAAAACGCCCACAGCATGCTGGAAGAAAACATGCTACCAAAGACTCGTCCACCAAACCCAAGGAATGGCTTCTTCAAGGGAGAGGAAATTCGTTGAAGACAAGAGGTCAGCCACATAGTCATGGCTTATTGGGCTGCGTAGAGCTGAGGGCTTGTGATCTAATATGGCACTACTATTGGCTGGCCTGGAGAGTAGCATTTCTTTGTTACAGTTTCCACAGGCACAAATCAGAATGGCTGCTCCATTCATTTCTAGAGAAATATCAGGAATGCCCGGGCTCTTTTGTGGAGATAATTACACACTGGCTCCAAAAGTAATTCTGACACATACGGCTGGTGATAAAGAACAATGCGAGCCCTCGGAACTGCCGTCCTTAGAGCGATGCTGAAGCCAAGGTTAGAATGGACCACTGTCTCCACTTAAGATGATTGAGGGCGTGACCACACAACGCAGTTGGAAGACGGAGCTGGTCAAATCCCATATGAGCGGTATCAGGGTGGATTATTTATATGGTACTTGGTTGGCTTCCCGGGTGCAAGATTTGGTAGAATTTTATTAACAGAACTGTCTGCTGCCTCCCACTTCATGAATCCATAGTTGGTCTCTTTATAGTAGATAATGCTTCATTTTCTACCAGCAAAATAAAGGCTCAAAACCAAAAAAAGAACTGGGGAGAAAGTTTTCCTCGGGCCAGCTCTCTGACTCAAGTCAGATTTCAAACATGGAATTCATGTAGCCAACATTTAGAAAATGCCCATATAAGCAGGTCACTGCCACTCCCGGTTAAGGCTAGCGACAGCAGTGGCTGTGTACTGTGACGTGACTGTACCCCAACCAGGGGAGGCTTTAACTAGGACTGGAAATCAATTCTGTCTTTTATTCCTCTTTTGTCTCTGGGCGTCTGACAAAGTCTGCAGTGGGATTTCAGTCGGAAGAGTAGAGACGCGGGTTCTAGCTTGCTGTCCACTAACATTTCCCCTTTCAACACCCTGTGTTACATTTTGGTCTATTTATGTGTGTGCTTGTGTATATGGTGCTCGTGGCAGTCAGAGGACAGCTTGTGGGAGTCAGTTCTCTCCTTTTGCCTTGTGGATTCTGGACCCCATTCAGGCCTTCCCGTTTGGGCATGAGGAGTCCCGTTCCTAGCTGAGTCGCCTCTCTCACCAGCACCGCTCTGAGCCTTGCTTTTTTTCAGTGAGAGTCTCAACGACCCCATACTGGTTCCAAACTTGATGTTTAATGGAGAATGGGCTTAAACTTGTGATCGTTTTTGCCTCTACTGGAATGATGGGATCACAGGAGGGCTGGGGACAGGACCCAGGGCTTCCAGCACACTAAGTAGGGCCTCTGTCGGCAGAGCTACACCCCCAGCCCCACGCTTCCTCGTTTTTGAAATCTGCTACAAAAGAAGCACTAGCTTAGCGTTTACTCACATTTAAGCCCCAGCAAATCTTGTCAGTACCTGCACGGTATCTGGTGAGAAGACTTTACTGTGCTTTTACAAATAACTTATCTTTAACAGTTTTAGAGAATTTTAAGGCTGTCAGGAGGAGATTAGGAGCAATATGTCCTAGATACTCTGCAATAAAAAGGCTGAGAGAAGATCTGTCGCCTGGGGGCAACTCCTTTGTTTGTCTATGTTAATATACAAGGGCATTGTGATGGTTTGAACGAGAATGGCCCCCATAGGCTCATGTATTTGAATGTTTGGTCCCCCAGCTGGTGGAACTATTTGGGAAGGATATTAGGAGGTGTGGCCTTGCTGGAGGAGGTGTGTGTGTCACAGAGAGTGGGTTCTGGGGTTTCAAAAGCCCACAGTGGGTCCAGCGTGTCTCCATGCCTCCTGTTTGTGGATCAGAGGTGAGTTCTCAGCTACTGCTCCAGGACCATGCGTGCCCGCCTGACTGATCCATGCCCTGGGTACCATGGTGGTCATAGGCTCTAACATTTGGAAACGTGTGGGCGGATTTCTTTCTTTTGTAAGTTGCCTTGGTCATGCTGTTTTGCCACTGGCAATAGAAAAGTAACTAGGGAAGCCTTGTATGGCTTCCCCTTCTCACTAGATGTTTTTTGAGTAACGTTTAGTCTTTTTTAAAACACTAAGTATAGGGGCTGGAGAGATGGCTCAGAGGTTAAGAGCACTGGCCGCTCTTCCAGAGGTCCTGAGTTCAATTCCCAGCAACCACATGGTGGCTCACAACCATCTGTAATGAGATCTGATGCCCTCTTCTGGCCTGCAGGCATGTAGGCAAACACTGTATACATAATACACAAATAAATCTTAAAAAAAAAAACCACTAAGTATATACTCAATCAAACCCCAACTAGTGTATACAGCGCTGAGCTGAGGTGAAATAGGTGGCGAGGGGAAGGACTTGAGAGTCAGACAGGACTTGATATCAGTTTAGTGACTGTGTGGAATCACGCTATGTTAGTGGGAAAGGGACATCTCTTAGAAATGAGCCCAATGAAATAATGTGAGCTGCCCATTGCGTAAATGACCGAGGGCTGCCTTGTCCATATGGAAAGCACTGCAAAAGATTTTGCTTTTGAGAATTTTAAGCAGCTGCATTCAGAAGGGACAGCGCCTGGGTAAGGGAAACCGATTGTCACTAAGCTGCTGAATGTGATGGCTGAAGGCTGGGCTGGTGATAGAGGGGGTGTTGGATGCTATTTGGGACCTCTGGCTACGCAGGCTTGGGAGGCACACTGTCACGCTGTCATGGGGAGTGTGCGCAGCAAATGCAGTCTCGGGGTGCGGGGAGACGCGCAGGTGTCACTCACGCGGGGGTGACGCCCTTGGGCAGCCCCAGGGCGTTGACAGCGACGGGCGGCGGCTGCGAGGGCAGCAGGGCGCTGAGGAAGGCTGCGGGCGTCTGGCTGGGGCCGAAACGGGCGGGCGAGCCGGAGCTGGGCAGCGGTGGTGGCGGCGGTGGCGGCAGCGGGAACACGTCGGGCACCGGGAAGGCCGCCGAGGGACTGAAGACCGGGGGCGGCGGGGGCGGCGGCGACGGCGAGGACGGGCCCCACATGGCCTCCGGTTCCACGAAGGGTGGCCCGGGCGCGCGGCCGAACGGCCTGGGCGTGGGGGACAGAGGCGACGGCAGGCTGGAAGAGCTGGGGCTGGAGGTGGGGGTGGCCAGCCCCGACGCGGGACCCAGGTTCTGCGCCGCGATGAACTGCTTGGGGCGAGCATAGTTGAAGGAGCCGGAGGACTGCATGGTGGCGGCGCGGGAGGCCAGCGCGCTCATGGGCTCCGCGGGCACCGGCGACACGCAGGCCGCGAGCTCGGGGAAGGCGGGCGGCGGCGGGAAGGGCGGCGACGGGGGCGCGCTGCTGCTGCTGCCGCCGCTGCTGCTGCTGTTGCAAGGGAGAGCCGGGGGCGCCGGGGGCCAGGCTCCCGCCTCCTGCTCCAAGCGCACTTGGTTCTGCAGCTGCTGCAGCTTCAGAGGATCCCTGGGGACACACAGAGAGAAAAAGCGACAGCTTTAGAGAAGGGGGGGCATCCCAGGTGGAGAGATGCTCACATACACCCAGTTTCTCACTCGAGAGTGAAAGGGGTGGGCTCATCCACTCTGGACAAAGCAGGGAATGGAAATGACAACGGTGCATTTCAATCCAATTGAAGGGCCTGCGGGGGAAGGCTCTGCCTTCTGATCTGAGAGCACAAGTACTGTTCTGGATAAGTTTACGTTCCCAGACCAATGGCTACCAACGGTCTGTAACCAGGTCCAGGGGATCATCCGCCCTCTTCTGGCCTCCGAGGGCACTGCACTCACCTGCACAGACCCATAGACATATATAATGTAAAAGACCACTTTGCTGATTATGATGAAGCTGTTGTCTGATTTCCAACAGCTGTGTTGTAACAGAACCAGTAGAAGCATTGAGGAAAAAAATGGAGATGAGTTCCGAGCCTTCTGTAGATAAAATTTGGGGGAAATTTTTCATCATAACAAGAAAGCTAAAATTAAAAACAAAAACCACTTGGAGTTGTTTTTATGGATCCCAGTTAGTCTGCTTTGCCTCTCTCAATACTCATAATATGACAAGCTGAGCTTTCCCCTTCAAACTGCAGGCAAAGGAGCGGTGTCTTATGATAGGGGAAGCTGAGGCAGGAGGATTGAAGATGTGAAGGCTACAGAGTAAGAACCTGTCTCAGAAAGCAAAACAAATCTGGTCATGATAGCTCATACCAGTAACCTCAGAAGTCGGAAAGATCAAGGGCTCAAAGTTCTCCTTAGCTACAGTGAGACTTCTTTTCATGGCTGTGTGGCTGTTTTAGCCTGCACGCATGTATAACCGTGTACTCCTGTTTGCTGAGCCTTCTCTCCAGCTGAATTTTCATTTTTTAAACTAGAAATTACCAAGCAGCTAGAACCCCACTCTTTGAGGTTTTCTTGTTTGGATTAACTGTGCCCTGCTTTATTCTGTCCAGTCAGGCAAGCATGGCTGCCGATGGCCGGCCCTGAGAACTTCAAAAGAACTTCAGAAGAAGCAGGGTTTGAACAAGCAGGTATGGTTCCATGAGAAGGCAAACTTGGGCACTCCGTTTTAAACACTGGAAAAAGTGGGGCGACGGGGGAGGAGGTGGCTCGTGGATAAACACTTTGCTGCACCAAACACGACCATGAGAGTTCAGATCCCCCGGAACCCACATCAAAGTTGTGTGTGGAATATTCCTTTACATTGGGTGATTGGTTTAATGAAGAAGCTGACTGGCCAATAGCTGGACAGGAAGGATGAGGCTGGGTGGGAGAGTCACACTGAGAATGCTGGGAGGAAGAAGGGCTGAGTCGGGGCATCGACAGCAGATGCAGAGGGAAGCAAGATGGGCATGCCGTACTGAGAAAAGTGCTGAGTCATATGGCAAAGCATAGGAAAGAAATACCGCTAATTTAAATGTAACAGTTAGCTAGTAACAAGCCTGAGCTATTGGCCACGCATTTGTAATTACTATTAAGACTCCATGTCAGTTACCTGGGAGCAGTTTGTGGGACAGAAACTTCTACCTACGGTTGGGCACACCTGTAATCATAGCACTCAGAAGGCAGCGTCATTGGGTCCCCAAAGGGAGGTAGCAAAGTACCCAGGAGAAACAGTGAGCTCTGTGCTCAGACAAAGACCTTGCCTCAACATTTAGGGTGGAGCGCATTGGAGGAAGACACCAGACATCAACCTGTAGCTTATACATACACACATACGTCTTGCACACACATCTTACACACACACACACAGACACAGACACGCACGCACACACACACACATTCAATCATGCCCACATACCACACACAAAGAAAATGATAAAGTGTTTTGTTTGCTTATTTTTATCCCCTGGTAATTAATGTTCAAAAGTGAAGGTTCCAGAAACTCAAAGCAATAATGAGAATGGAGCCGTGCGTTAGTGGTGCATGCCTTTAATCCCAGCACTCGGGAGGCAGAGGCAGGCGGATCTCTGTGAGTTCGAGACCACCCTGGTCTCCAGAGCGGATTCCAGGACAGCCTCCAAAACAATACAGAGAAACCCTGCCTCAAAAAACCAAAAAAAAAAAAAAAAAAAGAAGAAGAAGAAGAAGAAGAAGGAGAAGAAGAAGGAGAAGAAGAAGAAGAAAAGAAAGAGAAAAAGAAAAGAATGGAAGGTCCAGGCAAAGAAGCTGAAGGTTTATTATCAGGTGTCATTAGAGGGAGGACCATCACAGGCTCTGACCTCCTTCCTGTGCCTCTGACAATTACCCAGTGGAAAGATTACACTTACATCCCTGGAAAGACAAAGAAATCTTTTCTGGAGAACCGAAAGCAACAAAGAGAGGATGGCTCTCGATTCTTCATCTGTTGGAAGCATGGAAGATTTTTTTAATAACAAAGGACTTCGTGGGATCCCACCTAACCTAATTTGAGCATTTTCAAAGTAGCCCAGCTGTTGCTGAGAATAGCCACCCCCAAGAGATTCCAGATGTCTGTGCGGTTTGGTAGCCTGTCCGGCGCATGGGCTCCCACTTCGAGTATTTAGGACCAGACTAGGAATAGAACTTGTAAAAGCCACCCACCAGCTCCAGAAGCCACTGCCCAGCACTCCTGTTCCGATTTCCTCAGAGGCCTTTAGCTGTGGGTATACACTCATGCTCTGGCTGGCGCTGCACCTGGTGGCTCTCTTCACAGGCCCTGCTGCCTGTGCTGCCAGCCTCGGATACTCACAGATGTATCCGAAGGCAAATTAAGTGTGGCCTTCATCAGCAAATAGCTGAGTAGTGCTGGGCCTGGCCCAGAGACCACAGACCTACCAAGGAGGAGGGGATGGTTCTCTAGAATCACCTACACTGGTTTTGACTCTCTCCATAAAATTCATCTTGCTCAAGGAGGAACTAGACAGTCCTTGCTTCTTGACTGTGAGCATAGAGCAACCATCTGCCTCAAGCCCCCTGCTGCCATTGTTTTTTGTTTGTTTGTTAGTTTGTTTTTGCCACAATAGTCTATTTGAAAAAGAAATAGGAAGAGCTACAAAATGTGTCAGCCCCGCATGGCTCTAAAGCCGTCCAGGAACCAGAATACAGCGGTTCGCCTCCTGTCCTGTACTAGAATAGACATGAAGGACTTCACCAGGCTGCTATTCTCCCGTTTTCAGGGCTTCAGCCTGGAGTTTAGAGCATCATGTCGGAGAAACGGGAAAGCAAAACACTGACTACGCATCTTCAAGTGTCTGACTTGATTCCCACTGGAGCAACAGTCTTATTTCACCACTCAAATGGGTTTGATGGCAGAATTCTGAGATAACAAAATGTTCGATTTTAAACCACTGTCTCCATTTTCATTTGGTTACTTTACAGAAGCTGATTTTTCACAGATAAGAGGGCAAAGGGAGTCAAAGATGCCAGGAAGCTAAATCTACCCCTGCTCTTTGGCAGTTGCAAGCGGTTTGTCATTAAAAAAATTGGCTTGTCTGGTTTCCCCACTTTTTTATACCGCTGGCTTGTCTCTGAAAATGAAGCAGCCACAAACCTTTTAGAAATCCTGCTTGTGCAAGAAAAGCTGGCTATCAGCTCCTGAAAAGCCTTAGTCACAACCACGCTTTCAGCGTTGCAGTGCTGAAATCTTTGTTATCCACAACTGCTCCACCAAATTCTCCCCTGCTTCTTTTTTTTTCTCCTTTCCTCACCACACCCCCAATTCAAAAAGTCTCAGAGTTTCCCCACTCTTAACACACCCTACAGCTGGAAAGGTTTCGATCCCCCAGGAAACAAAACCGCCCAGAGTTTCTGTGAAGCGCCTGCCACGCTTTACGAACAGGAGAAGGGGTAGGGCAACGCGCTCCAGGTTAAAGTCGGTTCAGCCTCCGGGTCTAACCTTTGATTCATTCACTACACCAGGAATAAACCAGAAATGCCACAGAAAAGGACCCTGACCTTGAACGTAATAAACACAAAAACAAACAAACAAGCATCTGGGCTCATATTTCCCGCCCAATGCTTTTCTTCACTGCTGTGGTTTCTTGCGGGGACAGCATCTCGGACCATTTGCTTTTGACAGTCTCTGTTGTTTTGATGTGAGAGTCTGGCTGGCTCCCAAAATCCTGTGCTGGGTCTTCCTCTCCAAGCATCAGTAATAGAGATTTGTTAGAAGATGCACAACTGTTACTATCTATCACTCTGTTCCCTGCCAAGCTCAAGATAAATGACAAGAAAAGAAACTTCTGGAAAACAACTCTTTTTTTTTAATTGGAAATTCCCAGTGTGTCTCCTGGGAGCAGTGTCTGGGTGGTGAGAATTAATCTGTCCCCTGTTTACGCTGATAAAGACGGAGTATTCATAACCACCGAGAGAGCCTCCAGACAAACAAGGCTGGAGAACGTGTGTGCTTTAAGAATCAGCAATCGGTTTCTTACACATTTCCTTGCAGTTTTGACCGCATGGCCCATGAAGAGGTGCTGAGCATCTGCCTGAAATGTAAGCTTCTCTGGTTCTGCTGAGCATAGCGCTCTGAATGCAAGGAGTGCTACTCCCACCCTCCCGCGACACCCAGCCGGGGACTGCGCAGAACAGATGCCTCCCGTCAAGGATGACAGTGAACATACTGAGAGCTCTTTGCCCTTTGGAGTCCCTGCAGCACATGGAGGACACCCGTGGACTGCAGTGAGAATTTCTGAGAATTCCACAGAGAAGAGAGAGTTTTGAGTCAGAGCCCTGGGGGTTCCCCATATTTTTCTTGGGTGAAATTATCTAAATATCCAGGGATGAGAAAGGTGAATGTATTCATTTTGGATTGTATATATTAAAAACCATGGAGCCCTCAATTCAGGGCTTTTGATTAAATTCCTTCTAAAATGTCACTGTGCAAGCGTTTTTACCAATTTCATTTTCATTCAATTACTTGTGCCTCAGTCTATGGTCTCAAATCATTAACAGCATGTGACGGCTTGGTTTGCTTAGCACTGTCTCACTATTGACGATTGTAAAAGGTAT